TTACCAGAAGGTGGTGCCACACCTGGTGATGCAGTGCAAGTTTGACTTCAGCAAACTCCTGAAAGGTGTTCTTCACTAGATCTGATAGCTGCTGCGTGGTCGATCATTTAAAGAAGCGTAATCATTTCAAATTTCTTCAGGAATCGTGTCCGAAAAAGGAATGAGGGAAGAAACTCCCCCGGTCTTGCAGTATCAGATACTGCAATTGGCTTTGAATTTTCCAGCAAGCAAATTTTCCTGGTTCCGCATACAGGTGAGCAGGTTTACATCACAACTATGGCTTTGAACTTGCAGTTAGCAGTGTTCTTAACGTCTTCTGTGTTTTGGACTCTTAACAGGATGTTTCAGGCACAGAGTCATCCTCTGGAGAGAAGTCAGTACTTTACCTGCTTCTCAAGATGCTTGTGAGCAGCAGCAGCAGCCACCTCAGGTCCTCCACACGGAGGCTGGTTCTCAAGGTGAAGAATATTTAGTCTTTTCTGCTCTTCTGCGGTACACACAGCCCAGTCAAGTCCTGTAAATTTGGGTTTTCAGTGTGCTTCTTCCCCCAGTTTGTTTGATTAAACATTGTAAAGGCTTTATTTAAAATGGTAATTTAATGATTATTCATAAGTAGAACGTAAAAAATATTATAAAAACTGATTAATTAGAATTACAATACGTAATTTAAAAATACATATAAATATTAATCTATTTAAATTAATTATTTTCTTTTAAATATATATATATATTTTTTTATAATTAATTAAAATAAACATTTTAAATAATTTTTGCTTTTTCTTCAGAATGAACATCTTAAGTAATTTATTAAAAATTAATTTTTTTGTTTTACAATTTTTTTAGTAAAATCTAATAATTTTAAAATATGTAATTATATTTACCAAATAGTAAATATTTAAAATAATGTTTTCTTTTCAGGATAAACATTCAAAATAAACTAAACTGTTTTATACAATCATTTCAAATATTTTTAATAATTAAAAATATATTTATGTCTTAATAATATAATAAACATTTTAGAATATTCATTTTCATTAACTATTTAGTCAAATAAAAAAGTTTAGCATTTTTCCCCCTGATTATTTAAATAGTAAAATATGTATTTCTGAAACTAAAGTTAGAGGTACAAAAAGGTAATAAACAAAATAAGAATCTGCACACTTCAATCTGCGATGTAGGAGTTTGACCAATAAACTCCTACATCGCAGATTGAAGTGTGTGGATTCTTATTTTCTTTATTCCACTTTTCGATCCAGCAACTTTCCCAGACGAGCGGTGACTCCTACTCTAAAAAAGGGTAATAAAAAAGTTAGATTAAAAAAGAAAAAGAAAAAACAAGGGGGCCCAAAAGAAACAGAAATGCACAAAAATTGATGGTACAGGTTTTGTTAAAGTGGTTCAATAAATCTTTTAGGAGGAAAATGACTGATGTTTCGTATTTTTTGATCATTTTCAGGTTCTTAAGGACACCGGGGTATTTGAATACACCTTGAATGAACTTGAGCTCTGGCTTGATCAGCTGGTCAAACTAAAACCAAACCAACAAGAGACGGTTATCCAGTTCTTAGAGAGGGTGAGTCGGATGTCTAGGTTTGATTATTCACGTCAGAATCTTGTGAGCTAACATTAATGTTAAATATTTCGTTTCCCCCTCCAGGTGTTTGCCAGATTGGTAAGCAATTCATATGAATACACAGATAAAGTAGCCAGCTTTGTCCAGGAGGCAGGAAATCTGCAAGCTAACCTGAGTAGCCAGGACAGGGATGCAGTCAGCGTTCCAGTTTCACACATTGATGGTGAGTTTTCGGCAATCCATAAAAATGTCTGCGAAGCTTTGTTTCTGACCTGCATGTGAATATCTCTCAGATGTTTTGGACATGCTTGATGTCATCATGGAGGGTAGTGACGGTGAGATGGAGGAGTTTGGGCCTTCTCTGAGTGAAGACCTCATTGTGCAAACTTTTCCCTTCAGCGCGGTGGTGCCGGCTGCTCTGGAAGCTCGGAACAAACTCCCAACAGACAAAGGTAAAGCAGGAATCTGATCCGTCCTTTGAATTTTTTTACTTATTTAAAAAGACACACTGTGTGAGTAATACTGCCTCCACAGTGTCTTTTGAGTGCAGCATGGTGAGGCAGAAATGTTGGCACATTCTTGCCGCTAAGCTTGATAATAATTTTACCGCAACATCAGATTTCTGAATGGAGATCACGCCTTAGCGAAAACAGATGGTGGTGTCATGATCGCATGTCCACGGAGCCCCAGCCTTGACAGTTCATGGGGACAGCCACCGGTTGGAGTGGCTCCCGATAAAAAGCCTGAGGAGTGTGACTTCGAGCGGGGTTGACACGTTACGTTCTAGCTAAAAGGATGTCCGTGACAGCGCGGAGACCACACCCCTGAATACCACTATCTTTTATGAAAAACACATGATGGCACCACAGGCTGACCACCTGAATGACCAAAGTCTCCCTGATGCCGGCGCTACTTTGTGGCAACATGGCGCCATTTTGTATTTCCAAAAAGTCGCTTACTTGAACAACATGAAGAACGTCTCCTATTCCACCTTTAAGCTCTGAAATGGATTGTTTTATTAGTAAACCAGGGTCCGAAATTAACACTCGCCAAATGCGAGCAAATTGCTCCATTTGGCGAGTAAATTTTTGAGCTCTACCTGCCACCTGGCGAGTAAATGTTTGCACCAAATTAGTTATGTTTATCAGTCATCTTCCATGGATGTCTGATACTCCTCCCGCCTGCATGCAACGTACGCGAAACGTGAGCGTCGCATCCAACGTCATTTCCACCTATCCCATTCAATCAGTTTATCAAGTTAGCAGTTAGCTTCGTGTTAAAACTAGCAGTGAAATGTGGCGGTTTTTAACTGGAGTCAGCCAGCCTTCCAAAAGAAAACTCGTCAAACTGGAAGAAAAACCACCAGGACCAGTGGCAACCAGAAGATTTTGTGAAAAGTGGCGAACTGAAGATGGCGGAGTCGTGAGACAATGGCTGCATTATGATGGCCACGTAGCGTTGCTGCCTTTCACAGACACTTTTTCTGCTCGTGCTGCAAACAGGATAGCTGTCTTCTATCAACTGTCCCTCTGCATTCTTCAAATATCCGAAAAATGCCCATACTTCCGACTTTGTCTTCTTTGAGGGATAATAAATGTCCCGAGTGCTGCAGTCTCCTCTGGCCATTATTTCAGCTTTAGCTTAAAGAAAGTTTTGGTCGTAAACAACAAAGTGTGCATGTGCCGCCGGCTACTTCAGCAGATGATACGGTGGCTGGTAAGGGTCACCGCGCCTACACCGCAACCACGGTAATCCACCGAGATAATATATATATTTTTTAAACAAGACTGTTATTAATTATTATTGTCAACTTTTTTACCGGGGTTTACCGCTACACCGGTTACCGTGACAACCCTAGCCCTGTCACACATTCAGATATTCTCATGGTGCAGCTGTGTTCTCCAGAGATCAAGGACTATGACCCAAATGAGGCTGTAATGCTTTGGCACAAAGACGGTGTCAGAAGCAGGAGGCCAGACTTCGTGGACAGAGAAAACAAGGAGTCTGACTAGATTTCAATGAAACAGTTCATAAAACATCTCTAAAAATAAATAAATAAATAAATAGTAAAAATGACAAAAGAGTTGTTTTTCTTATTAATTGATGTTTTAATTATTTTGTCACTCTGTTTGGAATCAACATAATATAGAATTACATGCTTTAGGTAGATCTAAATCATTTAGAATTTTGGCCGGTAAAAAATATGCTTGGCCGGTAGATTTTCATCATCTACCGGCCAACTTGGCCGGTGAGTAAAAAATTTAATTTCGGACCCTGTTAGTAACGGTGTGTGATTTTCCTCTCTTAGGGGTGGTGTGCGAGTACCTGTCTGCTGTGATCTCAGATGTGCTCCACTGTCAAAGAGACCCGCTCCCTCTCTGTCTCACTCTGCTGCACTACGATAAAAAGCTCACGTCCTCCGAACCTCCAGCATCTTTTCATCCATCCGTCTTACATCTTCATCAGTATTACTCCAGATGGCTACCTCAACAGTGCCACGAAGAACTGGTCCGTCTTACCGAGCGATCGGTTTATTTGTCATTTCTGTTGTCGTTGAATGTTTTCTTTATCTTTCTGATGTAGTTCAAGTCTTGTGAGCGCCTGTCAAGTGAACCACCAGCCTCCACCTCCTGCTCCTCTCTACTGAAAGCCGCATACATCCAGGGACCCGGCACTTTTCTGGAGGACACCTTCAAGCAAAATATAGAAACGTCTCTATCTTCCATGTCACTGATGGAGTTTCCAGTTGTGATCAAGCAGATTTTACTTTACATCAAGTCAACAGTGGAAAACTTTGGCTCGGTAAGAACAATGAAACCTGAATATTCTGTAAATATTGCAGAGGAAATACTCAAAGTGTTGTTTCATTATCCTTGCAGTTCTCCAAAGACATTAGAGGAGCTCTTCTCAGGACTTTGATGGAAATTCTTCGAGATGTAGTGACAAGACTACAGAGCTCTGAGGAGACCCCGGACTCCGAGGCTGCTCCAGAGAAATCCCAAGAATCAGATCTTTTTGTGGAAATCAGTCAGTCGTCAACAATCGAAGCCAATAAGGAGCAGGTTTGCTAAAAAGTTAATAATTTGAGTTATTTTTTATTTATTTAGTGTCTTAAGTGATTCTTGTTTTCCATGTTTAGGTCCTTATTTCAGCCCTTGGCTCCATCTTTAAGCATCCGTGTCTGGAGCAGTGGTTTCTGGCTCTGGAGCGAGCCACATTCCCATCTCATTCCCTGAAACCTGTCGCTCTAAAGCACCTATGTGCCCACATGACTGACAATATTCTGACTCTCCTGAAGATGTGTGCTCCCACTCTTCACGCTCTGAGTCATCAGGAGCTTCTTGGCAGCTACCTGAGCGCTTTAGAGATAGCTGCTCTGAAGGAGCTGAATGAAAAGGGCTCTCAGTCTCCGAAGACTCAATCCAGAACCTTTCAGGCACTCTTGTGTCTGCACAGCTACATGGATGCTAGCAGTCTGAGGGAAGTGGTTTCCAGGTTGCTGCTTCTCCCTCATGACAGCCTCATCCATCCCCACCGTGAAGGGAAGCAGTCTGAGCTCAGCGTTTACGGTCGTGCAGCTTTACAAATCCTCACAACGCGTGAATCTACTTCCTCTCCCGACCATGACCCGTTTCTGACACAGGCACACCTCCACGGCCTAGGCACCCTTCTTGTGTCCTGCTCTAGCCCTGAACTAGAAGCTTTTCTGCTCCGGACTCTGTCCAGTGAACCAGGAAGTGCCAAGCTGATCCACACAGATGTCCTGCTGCGCTATCTTCAGCAGCCTGGCCCAGACACCCTGGCTATCAGCGCTCTGCTCCTGCAGAACAGCTCCTCTCATCGCCTCTGCTTTGAAGTCTGGAGCCTGGAACCACCAAACATGGAGAACATGTCTAAGACAGAAGCCTTCCTTCCGCTGATCAACTCGTACTTACAGGTGGCGAGTAGAGAGGACCCAGCCAGACCCAAAGATGGTGTGTTCAAGCTAGAATGATTGGCTGTGTCATATCTTTTTTCTTTGTTCATGCAAATACGGTTTGACTTCTGTTTTACTTTAGTGCAAAGGGAAGTTTTGAAAGCCTTGAAGGAAGCGCTGCTCACCAGACTGTCTCTGAATATTTTGGGAAGCCTGACGGAGGACTCTGGAAGCCAGTCGGCAGAAACACTTTCGAGTCTGATCAGACTTTCTGCAGACGTGAACGACATCAGGGATTTGATCGACAACCTTCCGGACGCTTTGAAGACAGCAGACAGTTTTGTGAGGTGAGATTTACAGTAATAAAGTGAGAAGTTTCATGTTCATAAATGATCAAAGTTTCTGCTCTTGTCAGATGGCAGCTAGTGGATGTTATTATGGAGAAGCTTGCAGATTGCCCAGAAGAACAAGGAAAATGGAGAATGTCGGTCGCTGCTGCAGCCCTGAAGTGTCTGATTGCTTCGTATTGCCACTCAAAAGATCAGGCCACTGCCCCATCAGACCAGGAGGAGAGCGTCTTAAAAAGACTTCATCGCCTTCTGGTGGGTTTACTCTCCTCGTGCATGCATTTATTTGTTTTTGCGTTGTGTAACTCATGTCTCACACACAGACATCAGCAGAAGACGTCACGGCGTCTGATTGGAACAGTTTTGTTACAAATGGATTGAGGTTGGATTTCTGTACAAATGTTATCTTCTGTTTTGTTAATACTGTTGTATAAAAATTGCTGTAAACATATTTGATGCACCAGGTATCGCTACAACGATAGTCATTTCCTGGAGACTCTCGGTGGCCTGTTGGATCTGATGTATGAAAACCCGAAAGACCAAAAAGATCTGATACCGTTATCAACTCTTCATATGATGACCAGCAGCCATTCTCAGTTCCTGCCCACAATGCTGGAATCCAGTGAAGAGCCCGGCAGGAGTCAGGCCAAAGGTAGAATTTATAAAAAGAAAATAAAGTTTTGCGGATTACATTAGCACTTCTCAAGCCACCTCCGCTTCTGCAATATATAAACTTTAGTTGCAATAATTTTAACAGCTAAACAATGGTTGCCTGGGCTAATGCTAACACTAGCCAGAGCTACCGCTAGCAATAGTCATAGCACCTGCTAATGCTATGTGTAGTTACTGCTATCGCTTGCAAGCCCTGCTGCTAATGCCATCAGTAGCTGCTGCTAACACTAGACTGAGCTTCTGCTAATGCTAGATCTAGCTACTGCTAACATTGACCAGCCCTACTGCTAATGCTATCTCTAGCTACTAGAGGAAACTGCTCTGGAGTGGTTCTTCTCTTATCTGTCTGAGCATTCTTTCTCTGTGGCCGTCTCCCAAGTTTCGGTCCTCCACCACCTCCCTCACCCATGGTGTCCCACAAGGTTCTGTGCTGGGGCCTCTACTCTCCCTCCTCTATATGCTTCGTCTTCAGCTCATCCTGAGCTTCTTTAAAGGAATCTCCTACCATCTTTATGCGGAGGACCTCCAACTGAACATCTCATTAATCCCCATGAGATGTCTAAGCTGCAGCTGTTACACACCTGTATTAAAACCTGGATGGCTGGGAGCTTTCTGTGCCCCAGACAAGCTGGTTCCCAAAGTCAGAGTCTCGTTTGGTCACCTTTCTTCTCACACCAAATCCTCTGTCAGGAATCTTGGTGTGACCTCTTCCTTCTTCCATCTTCCTTCATTCCATTACTTGCTATACCTCAAGTCCGTCTATCCTCGATGGGCCTTAGGTCTTTCGGCTCACAGGCTCCGCGGTTATGGAATAGCATCCCCTTAGACATCCGTTTGGCCAGGTCTATCACTCAGTTCAAATCATTACTGAAGACTCGTTTGTTCAGAAAGGCCTTTCTGAATGCCTAATTTGATTTTAGTTGATTGTGTATGTAATTCAGCTATACTATGTAGATTTTAATGGGTAATGTATATCTTTATGATAACGTTATATCGACTGATTACTTGATGTATTTGTTTATATTTTTATTTTTGACCTTTAGTCTAGTATTTTAGCACTTACTGGTTTTCACTTTTAACTTGTATTTGTTTAATTGATTGATTGATTTGTAATTTTAACTTGCTGAGGACTGTTTTATCTGTATTATGCAATTTCTGTAAAGCGACCTTGAGAGTCCTGAAAGGCACTACAAATAAAATGTATTATTAATTATTATTAATTATTATTATTATCTGAGAAACATTGCTAAGCTGAGTCCCATTCTGTCCCGCTCTGAACTTGAGACAGTTATCCACACCTTCATCTCCTCACGCTTAGACTGCTGTAACTCTCTTTTCACGTGTCTGAGCAGAACCTCCCTGAACCGTCTAGAGGTGGTTCAGAAAGCCTACTGCTAGTGCCATCTCCAGCCACTGCTAACGCTAGCCAGAGCTACTGCTAACACATTTTTGGTCATTTCAGGAGCATTGGTGTCCCTTCTTCTTTGCCTGGTAAAAAAGTGTCCGACAGTTTGTAGCGTCAACCATTTTGTCGTACTTCTGGCAGCATATGGAGCAACTCTTTCTCCCTCAGGTAACACAGACCCCTTTAGTCATGATAAAAGTGTTTGTATTTGCTCTTTTGCTATACACAACATTTTGTTGTCTTTGTAGATCAGAAACTGTTGCTACTCCTGCGGGAGTATGAAGCAAACCAGGTCAGCCTGCTGAAATTTCAGTAAGTATTTTTCTTTTGACTGTTGGCCCGGAGAGAGCTTTTCACACAGTTTTTGATACTGAATAATTTTTTCTGCAGGTCGTTCTTTTGGGGTCCTGCAGCTGTTGAGCATCACAAGACCCGGAAAAGCTTGGGAGCTTCTCTGTGGAAGCAGCCGAGTTCAGACGATGTGCTGGCGCTGCTGAAATCCGACACGATGCAGCAGACTGTTTTAAAGTTTCCTCAACGACGCAGGATCCTCCCCCAGGTTTAAATTTTAGATTGCTTATTTGTTTAAAGCTTTGCATTTTTATGTACAAGGTATTTGAGCATTGTAGGATTATAATTGGCTCTCATTTAGGACAACGCAGAGATGCTGTACAGAAATGACGCAGTGGACGACCTTGGGAGTTTGTATGATCCGTGTTTTCTCTTGCCTCTCTTCAGCGCCATCTTGCGACCAGGTTAAACTTCTTAACTGCTCGCTGCCTTACAGAAAAACAGGTTTAGGTTACCGTCGCTTCTTTATTTGGCATTCTTCTTTTCTCCGACAGAGTGTGTTGTTGACTGCGTGAAGTTCGTTTCCAGCCAAGCACTCAGCGTCACGGTGGTGTCTCTGAGTAGCTACGACTCAAACTTGAGAGCGGCGGCGTACCACGTGCTTCACTGCTTCTACCAGCATCTGGAGGCGGCTCGGTTCAGAGAGAAGAGACCGGTGCTGTGTCTGGGATGGAATATGTCACTTTGATCATATTTTGTGGATTGAAACACTGAGTCTTTTTTATTTATTTATTTTTTCCAAATTAGCTACTGTATTTAATGGATCTTGTCAAGAATGGAATTCGAAAGCAGAATCAAAGACTTCCGTTCATCTTGACCTCTTACGTCACCAAAGTGGCTCAGCAGATGCTGAAACCAGGTGTGTAACCCTGAACACAGAGACTGTCAGTAATTACCGAACCATATGTTAAAAACAACCTGAACACATCACTGAAATCCTTTTTTTTTGTCTGTTTTATTGTCCTTTTTTCCCCCCAGAGGACCACATGTATGTGGTGCTAAACCGATTCCTGCTGTCCCATCAGAGTCTGGATATGCGAAAAGTCCCAGGATTCACCAAGCTATTTTATGGCTTTGAATTGGAGGTAACGTGTGAAAGGAAGGCTCTGAAAACCTTCTGTGGTGATAAACTTGTTATAATGGAAGGTGGGAGTTCATGATTAAGCAACATCTGGCCTTCACTTGTTTGTTTGTACAGCTTAGGTTCTTATCAGACTCTTATCTGCTCCTGTGAAGGACCGTCACCGGTGGAAGTAAAGCTTACTTTGTTTTTGTAGCACAAGATGGAACGAGAGTGGATCCTGAGCGTGCTCGAGGAGGGGTTGATGGATGGACACTGCTATGATCTGTGCAACCAACAGGGTATCTTTCAGGTCCTTTTAAGCTTCAGCAGCAGCCCGCTGTGTAGTGAACGCTATCAGGTACACGCTGCTGTCAACACAACTGTTGTGTCTCCAGTCCCATCTGCTCTGGTGGACAAGGAGGACCAAGAACCTGATCTGAGTAAAATGCTCTTAAGGAGGAAAATGTGTAATGTTGCATACACTAATCTTCACGCAGATGCAGATCATTAGGGTGTTGTGTAAGGCTGCCCGTGTGACTAAAGCAGCTTACGACCTCCCAAAGAGCTGCGGGCTCCTTAGCTGGATAATACAGCTGGTTGAGAAAAGGTAAATGCTTTGATTTGTGGCTGTTAAGTTATTTAAAGGTGTCCTAGAATTCAAAACCACATTTACCTTGTTGTTGAATAAAGGCAACTTGGTGTGTCTAATGTACCGAACGTCTGTGCTGTCTCTGACCTGCTTTCCTGTGTAAAGTAGTGGTGTTGTAATGGCCACGGAGAAACACTTGGTTCTGAAAAAAGCTGGTTTAACACATCATCAGCTTAAGCCGGGCGTACACTGTGCGACTTTTTCACTTTTTTGAGCCGATTTTCCACTCGTGCGAGAATCCACGACATCGGGGCGAGTTTTGCGCCGAGCGGTCGTGTAGTGTACAGGGGGTTACGAGAGGCGATTAACACCACGTGACCAGCTGCCGATCGGTAATCGTGAGCTCGCACGGACTTCTGGCGTGTTTAATATTTCGCTCGTCCCTCGTGAGGGTATCGCACTGTTGAAGCGGCGCAGCGAGCAGCTGCGACCCAAAAAGTATCAGAACCGCTCACGGCGCATGCGCAATCATGCATCAACGCCGCTCGCTCGCTATTTCCCTAATAACACACGCTGTTCATTTTGGTTTCTACACGTTTTTTTACTCACAAAGACTGTCAAGAAAGCGTGTTTGTCGTGTTCATGTCAAATTAAACTGATCACTAAACACAGATTTACTTTCTTTATTTCGTTTTCCTCATCCAACCCCCATAAATCCCAGTGTGTCCTCCTGCAGCACTCCCGAAGGACAACAGGCAAAACAAGACAAAAAAGTCTGACGTGTTGAGTAAAAACTGCTATTTTTAGCATATTTTTAGGGCCGACGTGTTGCTACCAGACGTACAGTGTGAGCAGTCAGGTCGCATGCGAGAACTGGGTCGTGCAGTGTGAGCACATGACTCGTGAGATCTGCTCTGCGAGGAAGTCGTGCAGTTTGAGCTGAAGCTGAACGCTGCGAGTGAAAAAGTCGCACAGTGTACGCCCGGCTTTAGACACACTCCCTTATATTAGCACGTCCCAACCCACTTCAGCCTCAGCCGTAACTAAACTTTAGTCACGGTAATGTTAGCTGCAGAACAATGGTTGCCAGAGCTAATGCTAACACTAGCCAGCGCTACCGCTAACACTAGTCATAGCACCTGCTAATGCTAGCCAGAGCTACTGCTAATGCTAGCCAGAGCTACTACCATTACTAGCTTATGTCAGTCTGAGAAAAGTTAGTTTGACGCGACATAGGTTCAGACGCACCCCCTTAAATCTGCACGTCACAACCAGTGTTGGGTAGTAACACACTTTTAGTAACGCGCCACTGTAACACTTTTACCAGCACCTACTTAAATAAGGTAACTCGGTTACAGTTAGCCAAGAGAGCATTGATTCGTTACCAGCTGCTAATGCCGCCCAGACGTTCTGGGCATGGACCTGGAGAAATATAGAGGCAGCTTGTGTTTCACTCAAGCTACACAAAATGTACCCCGCATGCAATTAATCAATCATTTGCTGGTCTGACTTAAATATAATAGTGTTGGGAAATTACTGTGTTTGAGTTTTGAGTTTATTATATTTTCTACAAAAATGTTATTATAAGGACATTAATGGGTGCATTTTTAAGAATGTTTTTTAAGTAACTAGTTACATTTAACAGTATGCATTACTTTTGGTTGAAGTAATCAAAATAGTAAATTAGTTACTTTTTGAATAAGGTAACTGTAACTAGTTACTTTTTTCAGTAACTTGCACAACACTGGTCCAAAGCCTCTTCAGCATCTGTAAGTTTTAAATGTTGGTGGCTCAAATGAGGCTCACGTGGATCCCTCTGCTTTCACATCTTCCCTTTTAATCCGAAGTCTTAGAAAAAATGTTTTTAAATCGGGATAAACACTTTTCAGAAAACTTCCCTGTTTTAGAAACTGTTTTGGATCAGAATCGGCTCTCCTGAAGTGTCACAATGACATCGCTTGGGCTGTTGATGATGGGCTTCCAGTAGTCATGATAGACCTCTCAGTGGCTTTTGATATGGTCGATCATAAGAACCTTCTCTGATGCCTTGAAGAACTTGTTGGTTTGGGTGGTACAGTCTTAAAACGGCTTGTTTCCTATTTGTCAGGTAGGACCTTCCCAGTGATGGTGATACCCAGGGGTCCGTTCCAAGTCCTCTGCTCTTCTCGCTGTACATCCAACCATTTAGAGCAGGGCTATTCAAGTCTGGGCCTCGGGGGCCGGAATGTTTGTTTGGTTAGATGCAGGAGGGTGTTACTTAAGAAGAAGCGTCCGTTATTTTGCTGATGACTAGGGCTGAACGACTTCAGGAAAGGATTAAAATGAGTTTTTTCCAGGAGAAATTACAATTTGAGTTCAGTTCATGATTTTCTGCAAATCAAGGTTCAACACATTATTCATACTATAGAATAATATATATTTTATATAATATATAGTCATACAACAAAACAATAGATCGTTCAGCCCTGCTGACGACATACAAACATATTTGCCATGCAGTCCAAATTCTGATGCCACAGCTACATCTTTATTGACCTCCAGTTGTGGAGTGGCTGCACCTAAGCTCTGGAAACAACGCCTGGCCAGATTCTGTTCAAAAGTAAACTCCAATCACATCTTTTCCAACAAGCTTTATACCTGTAGTTATTTTATAACATTTTTCCCAACTGTTGTCCTGTCATTTGTGCGATTTTCTAATGACGTGTGCGTTTTTTATTACCAGTTTTTTGTACGGCTCTTAGGTCTTACGGTTTAAGTAATAGTTTACTGCTGTTTAATTTGGCTTTTGTCTCTTATATATTTCTGTCTTATCCTCTGTAAAGCATTCTGGTCACCTTCCAGGGTTGGTTGGCTGAAATAAAACTTGTTCTAGAACACTTTTAAATGATCTATTACAGCAATAATCTTGTTAATAGCATTTGCCACATGTAGTTATATTTAATCTACTTATTTTCTCTCAGGAATCTAAACCAGCAGCTGCTATCCGCCATGATTGATCTGCTCCATGTGCTGTGGTTTACCAACCTTGGGCGGAAGGAGGAGAAGCTTGTTAAAGACGATGCCTCCTCCTCCACCCACGAGAAACCTCAGGGCTTAGTCAAATGTCTCCCACTTCCACTCATCAGTGAGTTTCTGTGTGTGGCGATGGCCATCTGCAGACACCTCAGGTAAAGTTGGACGTCCATCAACGTCGCACAAGACAAATACCATCATTAGGGTCAAGGGTGCCAGTGTTTGTTTGGTCTCGTCCTTGCAGGTTGGGTGTGAAGGCCGCTCAGTTCAGCTTGTTTGTGCAGACTCTTTGCTCTGTACTGGTGCATCGTGGGACAGCCCTCAGTGTAAACAAACAATCTGACCGACTCACGCTCCTTCCACAGCCTCTCTCTTGCACCGAAGCGCTTGCTCTGCTCCTCTGCTGGGCCTCCTTATCCTGCAACTCGGCCCTCCTGGCCCAAATACAGGCCTTGTCAGAACAGTACAAATTCAGAGAGTTGATGGGTGAGTCCCTTTTGTTAAATCTAATTCAATTCAATTCAAGTTTATTTATATAGCGCCAAATAACGACAAGAGTCGTCTCAAGGCACTTCACATAATAAACATTCCAATTCAGGTCAGTTCATTAAGCCAATCAGAAATAATCTTTCCTATATAAGGAACCCAGCAAATTGCATCAAGTCGCTGACTAGTGTCAGTGACTATACAGCAATCCTCATACTAAGCAAGCATAAAGTGACAGTGGGGAGGAAAACTCCCTTTTAACAGGAAGAAACCTCCAGAGAATCCCGGCTCAGTATAAGCAGCCATCCACCACGACTCACTGGGGATCGAGAAGAGAGAGCAGACACAAACACACACACGCGCACGCACGCACGCACACACACACACAATGCTAGAAGCTGGAAAATACCCCAAAAAAACGTACAATCATTCCTAACAGTGAAGTTGGAGTTTTCCACTGTTTGGAGATGACTTCAAATATCAGAATAATTGTTTCATTTGGCGCAACATTACAGTTTTTATTTCCTGACTGTAAACTAGAGATTTTTTTTAAACCTCTTGTAATTGTGACTGTGCTAGCTGAATTTCTGATTAATAAAAAAAACCCGTTTTTATCATCCATAGGAATTGGAAAGAACAAGGTGCGAGGTAAAGGCTTCGTCTCCCAAAGCGGCACACGAAGGGTGAACCATCTGGAGGACACCAAGACTCTGGAAGAAGAGGAGAATCTCCTGACAGACTGTAAACTTCCCCTCAGCAGGATCTTTCTTCACTGGGAACCCGCGTTTCAGCCCTCAGAACCCCAATCGGTTCAGCTGGCCAACGACACGGCGCATCTGCTCACCAAGTGGTCCCTGAGGTGGCTGGTGGAGGTCACGTATGATGCAAACAGAACAAAAGAGCTGCTGCTCTGGTTGGAGAAGGTTGTGGTGAAACCCAGGAGAATCCTGAAGGTTGTGATGCAGGATTTTGGCTTGAAAGCAGATCTCCTTCAGCTGTTTCATCGCAGCTTCGAAGCTCGGCATCTCTCCAGCGTGTCTACTGGAGTAGAAACCATACAGCTTTTTACCAACATTATGATCAGCCTGCTGGAGACACAAGAAAACCTTCCAGAGTTTCACCAGGGGGTGATCTCCGCCTGCCTGCCTGAGCACGACCAGTCTAAACGTGGTAGGAAAAAAAAAGTCCATTTGGTGTGAATGCATCCAATATTGCTTTTATTATGCATGCTAACTTGAAATGAAAACAAAAAGTAGCACGGGTCGACACTAAGTTACACAAAAGGACGTGTTTCTAATCAGCAGTGGTCGTTTGCTTTCTTTTGCAGAAGCAGGACTGTTTCTGTTGTCGCCGTACATCCATGAGTTGTGGAGTGGAGCCTCTTCAGCACAACTCTTCCTGTCTCACGTCTCTTTGGTGACCAGAATCAAGAGCAAAGGACAAAAAGGCTCCAAAACAAAGAGCCAAATGGCCATCAGAGCCATCTGTAACGACATCATCGCCATGACAGGTTAACAGGAATATCTGGACAGTTGATTCATTTTTTCATTTTAGTTATAAAGATATTAAAACATTTTGTTAATAAAAAGAAACTTTGTTTTGTAAAGTGTAGTTTTCCACATCAGTGTTTTCTTTTTATTTGTTTTAAACGCTTGGTTTGTCCCAGATTTAATGGTAGATGAACAACGACCACAAACAATAAATCTGATGATGTACAAAATAAATGCTGTGTGACTTTTAAATAAACAGACTTGTCTTTGTGTGAAAATACAAAATGCACAGTTTAGTCCCAACTAAACATATTTTTAAACATTTCTTTACATAATTAATAAAATGTAACTATATCACCTGGAAAGTGTCGCCTGAACAGTGCAAACCTCCAGACTCTCCCTCTGGTCAGGCTGTCGATGCTCTCTGGTGACCTTTAACCTTATTTTCCCTTTAATCAGAATATAGAAATGTAAACAGGGTTTTGTTTTTGTGCAGCTTGGCCAGAAAGCCCACTTCCTGTCACACTTACTTTGTTAGCTTCCCAGTTAAAGACATCAGATTCAAGGTGAGAAAGAGAAATCCCAAAAATGCAGCCAGAGTTACCCACAGGATGATGACAATAGAGTCTGGAAGAGAAGGATCAAGAAGAGGGAGACAATTACAACCGATAAAGGGTGTAAATAACTTACATTTGTTGTACTTCAGCTGGCTTGCATCCACAGCCACTGGATCGATGTAATCATAGTAGTACTCCCATTCGTATGAAGTATCGCTGCTGATGTTTGTTGTGATCGTCTCGGTGTTTTTTAATGAAGTGGATTTGTTTATAAAAGCCATAGTGTGGAAAATACTTCTGGTTCTAGCAGACACAATTGCTGCCTTCTCTTATGTGTGTGTGTTTGAATTTGGTCTCCAGTTTTTTTGCAGCAGAGGTCAGTTTACGCATGTGCAGTGGAAAAGTCACACCAGTTCACTGTCTTTTAACCTGTTATGTGCTTATTTGAATTTATTTGCTTTAGGTAGCTTTAATTATTCCAAATATTAAAAAAAATATATAGACCCTTTTTTTATTTTGAATTACATAAATCCAATATACATTTAAAAAATTCCCATTTCACCCTCCGTGGGTGGTCTCGTCCTTCCAAGCTCTGGTCCTCCATCAGAGGCCTGGGAGCTTGAGGGTCCTGTGCAGTATCTTAGCTGTTCCTAGAACTGCACTTTTCTGGACTCGACTGATATATATATATATATATATATATATATATATATATATATATATATATATATATATATATATATATATATATATATATGTGTGTGTGTGTGTGTGTGTGTGTGTGTGTGTGTGTGTGTGTGTGTATGTATGTATGTATACACACACATCCTTGTCCTTTGAAGTCATGCTTATGTTTCAACTTCTCCCTTGGTGGCAGTTTTGGTTGTTTTACTAGAACAGCAAGATCTGTTGCCTTTTGTTAAAATGGAAGAATTCTACTCCTCCATCACATCACCACTGCATCAGGGACTTCACCATAAACTGGAAAAAAGTCAGATGTACCCTCAACAGCTCCATCAACAAATTCCACAAACCTGGGACCCTCTTACTGGCTGGTATGGTCCTAGAACTGAACGCTTTCACCTGCCCTGTGTCAATTCTACAGCAACTAATGTTGGGTGCACTTATTTTTTCCACCGTTTGTAAGAAGTATGGCAAGTTCATTTTCCTTTTTGGTTCAGTCAGTCTTTATTATTGTTATATTGTGTGGAGATTGTTTTTTTTTTTGTGAAAAAAAAAGATTCATATTTTTCAGTTTGACATTCAGAAATTACAAATAACGTATTGAAAATTTTAAATACATGAAAATAAATTGTTTGTCCACATTTGATTAATTTCTTTGAAATGTTTTGGTCATAATTAACATAGGGGTTTATTTTACAGCGCAAATTACAGAATCCGTTTTGCCTCTGAAAATTCAAGTTTTAATCTATCATTGATGACATTGTTTTGTTTCTCTCTTCTAGACTTGTCATTTTGCCAAACTTAGAGGTCACACACACACACACACACACACACACACACACACACACACACACACACACACACACACACACACACAAATAATTAAAAATAAACAAAACCTCACTCCAAGTCTTTTTTTAAAGAGCAAGTCACCCCCTACAAGAAACTTACTTCACTCCCACTTCATGTTTGAAAAATGCAACAAATGCTGTTGCTTGGCAGACCAAGAGGGCGGAGCCGCTAACAAATACACACACACACAGGCTCACAATGGCATTATGACATCATAATATACCAGATGACATCATAGCATACCTCTTAGCCAATAGCGGTGGCAGATTTAAATTCAAATACAGTGCAGAATTTTCCCCTGACGACGGCGCAACACTGACAGTTTTAGGCAGAATATTTGAATTTTAACCAAGATGCACTGAACTGCCAAATTATTGACTACACGTGTCTGTAGCACGATTAGACACTCCTTTATATAGTTTATCAGCAAAAAAAATGTGATTTGGGGGTGACTTGCTCTTTAAAGTTGGCAGCCATGTGTGATTTGAAAATCCGTAGGGATTTTTGAATGGTATGTTTTATTTTGAGGAAATCTACAGGAAGTGCTAATACGTTTAGCTGTATGAATGCTGCCTGTAGTAACAGTTTTCGCCCGTTAGAGGGAGATAAAAACCTAAATCTTTATAGCCAAAGAAATGGACGTTCTCCGATTCAGCTGATCTAAATTACTGAAAACCATCGCTGAAAACATTGGCCAAAGAAAATAAATTCTCTAAGCAGAACAGAACCAGTATAGTTTTACCTTTTCACCACAAGAGGGCAGAATTCCCCCTTCTCATTCAAGGTAAAACTGGACCAGTGACTGTAGAAAAGAGAAACGGGACTCGTAGCGTTGTAGCTAGGGGGACTTTGTACAGTAGCCTGACGCAATGTGTAGTTTAGATATATTGTGGTTGTGACGCGAGAGAATGTGAAGTCAGTAATAATAATACGTGTGTTTCAGCTGCGTGAGAGGCCGAGAGTTTGTGTACTACTCACTCCCGAACACTAGAGGTCAGTCAAGAGTCAACAGCAGTAAATTTGCTACGTTCAACGTCTACACAAAACAAAAATTTAGAGTATTGGTACCATTTTGATAATCTCATTAGAAAAACAAGTCAGTTAGAATAAACAGAAATGTTATATTAAAACCAATGATAAAATTAAAACAAACGTGACAAGTTATGATTCAAGCAAAAAGTTAGGCTTTTCCAAATCAAACAAATAGGCCATTTTGGGAACATTTGGAAGTGTCTAAATTTTCTTATGAGTAATTCTCATCACTTTTAAGTTATTATTTACTACAAACAATTTACTGGGTACTTAGTTCTTTTACCATACCTTATTTGTGTAACATTTAGGCTTTCTAAACGCGCTGTAAATCAATGTGATAAATTTCCGATAGTTTTGAACGCAGCATTGTCTCGTGACATACTCTTACAAAAGTTCACCGAGGTGGATTCGCTAGGCCGCTTCACCCTACGCATTTTGCTATTTTAAAGCGACTGTTCGTGATGTTTTTAGTTACACAACTTCACATTCTTGGTTAGAGTTTCAAAATAGTTGTTGGTTACTTTGTTTTTACTATTGACAAGCAACCATGGATGCAGTGAACGCGTTCAATATGGAGGTAAAGTTCGTTAGCGTTCATTAGCTCTGAAGCTAAATTGCTAAGCTAACCTTAATGCTAACTAAGTAAATTTTTAGTGTGTTAAGTGATAGTGATTATTGTCCACATGAACGTGTAAAATATATTTTAACGAGGGAAATTTACAGTCGAAAATTAGCCTGATTATAGTCTTCAATTGCCGTTTCGGTTCAGTTCCCCTTTTACTAATATACAACGGTTAAATTCTGCTATGCTGACGTTCTCGTTATTTGTTTTTGTGTATTAAAGGGATATACTATTATATGTAAGTGTTCGCAAAACTCGAACAGGAAAATCTCATGAATAACCATGTTTTTGCTAGCTAATGTGTCGCCTTTTTGATAAATCGGCAAGTTCTTTAGATAAACCTAGTCTAACAGAAACTATTACTGATGTGATTTTGTCACACAGCTACTAGAAAATCAAAAAGTTCTTAATTTTACGTTTACAATTATAATGTAAAATATCTTCTGATTTACATAACTGTTGGCTGGATGTTGTAGTTTTCCAACTGCATTTGTAATCACTAGTTTTGTCTGAAGTGGAAGAAGCTTGACATCTACATAAAAGAAAACTTAACTTATTCACCCCAGTTATCCTGTACTGTAATCGAGATTAATTAAAAAAAAGTCCAGTATAGATATTGGAGCTTTACTTGGCAATAAACCTTTTTGAAGCTGTATTTGTTTGTGAATTTTCTGTTCAGTTAATGCATTGCTGATGTATAGCACATTTCAGTGTGTTATTTAAATTGTTTATTTTTATTGTCAAAATAACTGATTTAATTATTTTTTTTAAATCTTTTCTCAACCAGTTGTTCTCCATGATTGACATGAAGCCGCCCATATCTCGTGCTAAGATGATGTCCGTAACAAAATCTGCTATTAAAGCCATCAAGGTAAAAACAAATAATACTTTCTTGCCATGGTAAGCAGCCAAATAACCATTTTTTTCCTGGATAAAGTAGTTTTCTTAACACCAAATTGCATCCAAATATGTAATTGGTGAATTATTTATAAATTAAATAATTGAAAAAGAAAAGCTTTTACATGCGAGACATGCTTTTATGTGAAAAGCGCAACACACACTCTTGGGAATATATTTGTTTCTATGATGCATGCAATCAAATGTATGGATCTGCAGTATCTAAGCAATAATGATTGAAACACACACTGATAGCTTAAAACAGAACCTAACACACACACACACACACACCTATTGTTGAACCGTTCAAATTTTCTGATGAATCTTTCTGTATGAGTTACTTTTTATTTAGATTCAAATCCAAATTTATTCTATAACTTATTACTTTCTTGCTACACACATTCTCATTATGTTGTAAGTATGTAAGCTGCGATTGACTCTTGAGTTCAGCTCACAGTTGTCCCCGATATTCTTTGGTTCACGTTTGCCTGGAGGGTATAATCAGATATCTGTTCTGTTTTTGTAGCTATACAAACATGTTGTCCAGATTGTCGAAAAGTTCATCAAAAAGGTAAGTTTTTATCAGACTTGTTGCTCTGTAATTAACATGATACTAACTGTCAACAGAAAGAGAAATTGACTTTTTTTTCCCCCTTTTTATGTCAATGTTCTTTTCAGTGCAAACCAGAGTTAAAAGTGCCCGGTTTATATGTGGTTGATTCCATTGTTCGGCAATCACGTCACCAATTTGGTGTTGACAAGGACGTGTTTGGACCCAGGTTTTTGAAGAACTTCACAGAAACTTTCCAAAACCTCTATCACTGTCCTGAGGACGATAAGGTATTTGTATTATTCTATATTTTTGTAACAACTCCAGTGTTTCCCCTTGAAATTTCTCCAGCTGTGGGTCAAGTTGTGTGGGTGGGGTCGTTTTGCGAGGCGGTTGAGCTTATGTAGGAGAGACACTGAACACTTAATAATCGTGTCTAAATTGGGTCTTCAGAGGGGCTACGAGCACTTAAAGCTGTGGTTGTTTCCCTATTCCATCACACCTGTTCATCTTCTTAATTACCCATAGATTAAAATCAGGTGTGCTGGAGAAGAGAACCACCTGAAATGTGATCTAATTGGAAGAGTTTTTTTTTTGTCTTATCAGAGTAAAATTGCTCGTGTGCTAAACTTGTGGCAGAAGAATGGTGTGTTTGATATGGACATCCTTCAGCCCCTGATGGATATGGAGGATGTTGTAATTTCTCCTCCTCCTGCTCTGGAAGGTAATGGGTGGTGTTTGTAACAGTGTACCTAAGCATTACTTTGGGCTGATTACACACTTTGGTACCATGTTTTTGTATCTGAACAGTTCCTGTTGACTTCCAACCAGAAACTGCACCACCTGTTAATAATGCCACTAATACACCTACTGTACCTCAGCTGCCCAGTTCAGATGCATTAGCAGCTGTGGCACAGCTGCTTCAATCCCCTCATTGTCAAGAGGTAAGTGTTAACTGGTTCTTCAGCAGTTCAGAAGAAGTTTTTATTTATATTTTTTAAGTATTTCAATTAATTGTTTTTGCTTTATCCACACACCAGCTGCAGATGATGCTCCAAAGCTTTCAACAGGCAGAAAAGACACGGACAGTCACTGCTGCTACAGACAACATTTCAAACCCAATACCAGTGAACCAGTTCGATCTGTATGCTGCTGAAACTGTTAAGAACGCTTCTTTAGCAGAGGTAATATAGCTAAATGTCTTGGGATGCGCCGATCCAATCATGTGATCATGTCATTTAGGGCAGCAGTAGCTCAACAGGTTGAGCGGGTTGTCCAGTAATCGGAAGGTTGCAGGTTCGATCCCGGCTTCGGACAGAGAATTCTGCTGTTGTGTCCATGGGCAAGACACTTAACCCATCTTGCCTGCTGGTGGTGGTCGGAGGGGCCGTGGCGCCTGTGCTCGGCAGCCTCGTCTCTGTCAGTGAATCCCAGGGCAGCTGTGGCTACATCGTAGCTCATCACCATCAGTGTGTGAATGTGTGTATGAATGGATGAATGATACACTGTAGTGTAAAGCACTTTGGGGTCCTTACTCTGAGAGACGCTATACAAGTGCGGGTCATTTATCATTTATCATTGGAAATAGGGCCCGATCACATAATTTTCAAAGGACATTCATGATTTTTTAAAATCATCCTGAGCTAGAGATTTTCAAACGGAAATACATTGGCTGCGTGTTAACAAGTTCCTCTACATCAATATTCTTTATTCCTTGGAAGGAAACAACTTTGTAACATCACATTTTTGGCAGGCGGGAATTCATACACCATAACATTCAGTTGTTGGCTAGCAAAGCTAACGTGTCACCTTGGGGGAGAGAAAATATCTGGTTTTTTGGTGTGTTTTTTTTTTTTTTTTTACTGGACAGCAAAGGCAGAGCAACAGCCACTTGTGTCAAAACTGGGCATTCAACTACTTTCTCTTTGGGATTTTCCCTTCAGGTTTTCCCAAAGCATTTCACTTGTTTTCATCCCAGTTTGCCAGTAATGGTCCCAGTTTATGGTGGCAACTTGGACAAAAACACAGAGCCAGTCATAACGATACATTGATAAACAAAGAGAAATTGTTGACTGACAGCAAAACGTTAGGTCTGGGATTCTCAGTTACCTGTTGCCTGCAGTAGTGAGCCTGTTGACCATGGCGCCGCTTGCCTGCCTGTGACAGGGATGCACATCACTCAACAAAGCCACATGTTGAAGATGTAAACTATTTTAAAAATGAGCAACGCCACTTCCTTTATTTTCATAATAATAACAACACATTTTTAAACCAGTGTACTTAAGAAACAAGGCAAGGCAGCAGTCTTCAGTGATTTAGGGAAAATACTCGACATTAACTCATTCGCTGCCAGCCCTTTCCTGATCGATAAAGCCCTTCGCTGCCAGCGTTTCTCACCGTTTTTACTGTGTTTTTAAGAGTCACAGAACGTTGCACGCTAGGATGATGTCGACGCCAAAACAACCAAAACAAAGCGGAGACTCACCTCTTACATCAGGAAGAATCCACGTGTTTCGAGCTTTATCCGTTCCTTCATAATCCGTTGTTGAATTGGGGTTGGCAGAAGCTTTTCCGGTTCGTGCCTCACTTTTTTTTTTTACAGCGGCCCAAAACGATCTCCTAACATGGATTTTCTCCTTTACTGATCACGTGACATATGCAGATAAAGATCGGCTTTAGAACTGAGATGTTTGTTCTCACGGTGCGGAGGCTCGTTCCGATGCCCGCACAGTAAAAAAAAAAAAAAAAATGCAAATGATGACTTTAGTCATCATTGACAGTGAATGAGTTAAGGAACAGTTAACAATTTTCAGTACAACAGGTTTTAAGCAGCTAAAAACTTTTGAAGAAGTTAGTTGGCAAGGTGTCCACACAGCAGTTAGATGAGTTTAAGGCCTTAACTATGTTTACCTGGGTTTTAGCACAAATCACACTGAAAGCTGGCCTTCTAACCAGATTGTTGCCGTGTGGCTGTGGTCTGATTTTGTTGGCTGACGTGGAAGAATAAATGGTGGATCTGATGTTTATGATTTTCTCATTGAAAAAGGATGCTAACTCATTAGACTTAGTTTGGGAAATGACATCAGGGTTTAACTGTGTTGGGAGATTAGTTAACCTCTCAATAATAGCAAACAGAACACATGACTTGTTAATATAATCACTAATGAGTTAGGAGAAAATGGCTTGCCTTATTTAGTTCAGAGTTGTAAGTGCACAGCTGCGTTTTGAAGGTTTCGTAGTGAGCTGGTAGGTTACTTTTTCTGAATTGACGCTCATTTTTCCTGCATTTTCTTTTCTGATCTGTAGCTGATTTAGTGAACCTCCATGGAGCTTTTTGTTTGCTAGAGATAAGTTTGACCTTTTTGGGTGCAATGGTATCAAGGACTTCAAGAGTTTGCAGTTAAAGTGATTTAAAAGTGAATCAGCACAGCTGGTTGTCAGACTTGCTGATGTATTCATTCGTCCTATAAAAACTGATGCAGTGTGATCACCCAGATATCTTAAAGAAACTTAAAGGACAACTTGGATGTGTGTTCCAGTTTTCTTTTTCAATACTTTACACCTCATATTGCCAAATACTCTAAATCAAATGACGGATTCTGATCGGGAGTAAGAAAAATGTGATCGGAACATCCCTTTAAATGTCACAGAATATCTCATCTGTTCCATACCTCTGCTCATCTAGCTGTGTAACACACATTTTATTGATTTTATTTTCAGAAACTCCTTGATCGGTTTGAATATGATGAGGATCCTGAGGATATTCTAGTTTCAGATGGCAAAATTCAAACACAGTAAGTTTGAGAAAATCAATAAAATCCGATGGAGATGACTGTTTTTTATTTCTGAATGAATTTTGCTGGAGTGTAAATGTCAGAGCAAACCTGAAATTAGCTTTAATTTTGTTCAGATTTTGGATGATCCAAGACTAAATATCTTTGTTTTCTGATCACGTTAACTTGCAGTTCCATTTCTAGACGTGGTGAGGCGGATGTTTTTGTATCCGCTTTTATTTTCATGTTTATAATGACTGCTGTGGCTTTTTTGTTGTGACAGAGTATATCCTGTTAACAAGTTAAACCAGTTTCCTGGCCAGATGTTCAACACAGACATTAATTCTGATCTGATGGGACAGACTGGAGATATGAAGGTATATAAGATATGAGCTGTTCATCGCATTTGCAGGAACATTCGTTTTCACACCAAAAAGGCATTTAAGAATTTTGTCTTTCATCACATTGTTGTTTTTCCCTTTTCGATTTATTTTCAGCACTTTAGAGGTATGAGTCAAGGCGAACATCACATGACAGCCGAGGGGTGTAGTCCCATTGGAGAGGGCTACTCTCAGTCACAGGTAAAGCTGTGACTTTATTGTTTTAGCTTAAGCTGATCTCAGGCCAGACTGTTTTACCAACTGATTTTTGCTTAATCCTCGTAGGATAACTCGAGAGAAAATTCATCCAGGAGATCAGAGAGCATACGCAGAAGCTACGGCATGAGATCCAGATCTGGTTCCAGGTAACGACTGCTTATCGCACACACTTTTGCAAAATTGTTCCAGGGCTGTTATTGAGTGATTTATGTTAAATCTTTTTGTTCTGGGGTGAACAATGTTACCTGTAAGAAACAGGTGATTTTTACCTTATGTGTCTTCAACATTCTGAATTATATTTCAGGTCCCCCAGAAGAAGGAGAAGATCGAGGTCTTCATCTCGCTCAAGGTGGTCACGGCAACAGCGCTCTCGCTCCAGAGAACAGCGCTGGAGGTCTCGTTCTGGTTCTCGGGATAGAAGCGAAAGAGAAAAGGACAGAGAGCGAAGGCAAAGAGGTCTTCCCGTCCTGAAAAGCCAGACTCTCAGTGGTATGTACTGTTGTTGCATTTTAGCTTTAAGCTCGCCTCCTTGGTCCTTTTATCCCAGAAGAAATTGAACGGAGCACACTTTAATCAATAATATACAGTATTGACCCGAATATGGAACAAGGTTGTTTTCATTAAAAATAATTTTAAAATGTGGGATCATCTTTTAATCGGGGTCTAAGCATTCACGTGCTGATATTTATCAGGGGTCATTACATGTTCGTAACGGCAGAGGACACCAAGCTGTATGTTCTCAACAGGAGACAAAAATAAAGTGAGGAGAGGTCTGGAGTAGGGTTGTCTCGTTCCGATATCGACATGGGCCCAAAAACACTATCGGGTTATATCGGACTGCAAGAAACATCTCTGATACAAGCAGTCCATTAATGTTCACATTTTTGCAACCAATGGCTAAAAGAAATTTCATTTTTTTCCATACTTACTGTTATTGGCTCTTGTTCTCCATTGAGTAATATCAAGCCTGTCATACATTTCACACTACAATATAGGTAAAAGTATGTATGATTTGTGCTGGTATCGTGTCGGATTGATATCGGTCAATACTGAAGGCTGCAATATTGGTATTGTATCAGAAGTGAAAAAAAGTTGTATCGGGACATCCCTAGTCCGGAGCAGAGTGGACTTAAAGTGGGGCAAGTTAGCAAGCTACCAAGGCAAGAGTTATGATGCTAATTTAAAGATGATGGTGGTCAATTCAGCAGAGGTGTCAAACATTGCATGCATGGATGCACTGGATGGCAATGAGGATGACGTTCGATGGGAGGTGCCGGCAGGTGTAGCGATCTGATAGTACACCGGGACCGCAGCAGCATAAGAGTGAGTGAGCACAGCGAGGCAGGGGGCGTCTGTGAATAAATGCCTCATTTAACTTTTGATTTCACATGTGAGCAAAGTTCTGATAGTTTGCAGTAAAATAGTATTTTTGCTCAGAATTTTTTCTCAAATTAAAAAAAAAATAGTTTATTTAAAAAGTGATTTTTTTTTCCCCCCTGACGATTAATATTGGAAAGAGGGGCAAGGTAGTCATATATTCGGGTTAATGCGATACTTCATTAATGACTATGATTCAGTAAGTGCAGTTATTTTGATTTATATATCAAAAAGCATAAAGGTAGTACAGAGACACAATACCAGGGCCCCTCTAGATCCACTTTAAAGGCACGATCTCGAGGTTGATGGAGCCCCACGTTTGCTTCCTTGTATAAACTAGACCCCTCCCAATCCGTGACAGGGCACAGTCTATAGGTGAGCCAGTTTCAGTGAGGGTTTCAGATGTGAGACAAAAACATATTCCAGCTTGTGTTTTTATCAGGCGGGGTTAACATTTTCTAATGTGTGTAGCGTGGTTAAACTACACATTCATGACTCTACATGTGCATGAAGCGAGCAGACAAATCCAACATTTGGGTTTTCTTTCCCATGAGAAGAATCAAATGTCCAGGGGCCTCATTTATCAGGCTTGCTTACGCATAAAACGCGGTCGGAAAACTGCGGAAGCAACTTTCCACGCAAACTTTGGGATTAATGAAAGAAAATTTAGTGGAAAAATGTGCGCAACTTTAAGTTGACTAAGGACCTGGCTTACGCTCATTTTGGACATGGAGAGCACCTGCAGTGCTGCTGCTGAGAAGGATGATATTATGAAATCCTGCAGCATTATCACTTGTACTGCTTTGTTTTCACACAGAACAAGGAGCCCCCCCCCCCCCACACACACACACGTGCAGCCTGAAGCACAGAATACGGAATGCAGAATATCAGCAGGGGGACAGATTGAGACAGAATGTCATGCGTCTGTGACAGTGTGTATCCTGTCACTGTGACCCGATTGATCATGCGCCCTGCACACTTGTACAGGGGGAGATCTCCATTTGGCTGACTGGTTAGCGCGTGTGACTTTCACCCGGGAGTCTGGGGATCAAATCCCGATTGGACCTTATTTTTTTATCCGCCACAGATCTCTCTGAAGAACTCACAACATTGATGGCTTCAGCAACACTGTGCCACTCAGTGGATTTTCTCTTATTTGTTTTGCAAAAGCACTTCCTTTCATTTCTCCACCTCACCCACAGGTACCTCAATTTCTGTTTCTGTGAAATAGCGCTTCCTTGATCTGCCTTGATCTACGGTCGCCATCGTCATTGACGGAGTGCTGCAACAGCCGGCTTATGCATATGCATGAGATCTACAAGGCACTTTACATTGACTATTTATGGCAGTAAGTGGGCGTGGTGAGGGTGGGATGTGACTAAAATGCAGCTGAGAAACTTTGTCGTTAGTCTCCGATTTATGAAGCGGAGATTGCGTGCAGCTGTGCGTACTCCATGTTTGATAGATCACAAACCTACTTGGCATAAGTACAATTTTTTTGCTGAGCTTAAGTACGGTTTTAGTAAGGATTCTATGCAATGATTGATAAATGAGACCCCTGGTGGACAGACTCCAGGTCTCTTTCTTCCAAATAATCAACACTATGACATTCAAGCAGATAAATAATATATAAGCAAATAATGAATTTGAATGAAGTTAAAATAAGTTGATTATGTATATATGTATATATATATATATGTGTGTATATATATATATATATATATATGTGTGTATATATATATATATATATGTGTGTATGTATATATATATATATATATGTGTGTATATATGTATATGTATATCAATACTTGATGAATGAAATTACTTTTGTTTATTTTTTTGCATTTGTGTTATCTTTAACGCTAGAATTTGGTAACAGAAATTTTCATGCTGTGGGCGAGGAGCAAATGTGGCGACGGAGTAGGACATGTCGGGTACTCTGTGTCTTGTTAAAAGTGTGTTCTCTGTAAACCTTTGCAGCTAAGCTCGAGGTCTGGCACTTTTCTAAGGAATCGACAAGTTTTGACTTTGAGATCTTTAAGAAATGGCAGCAAACTTGAAGAAAAGCAGATATACTTGCACTACAGACTCTAACCCCGGAGCCTCCTCAAACCGAAACAACCAGGGCCGTGGCCTCACCCAAGCAGAGATCTGGCGCAGGCAACGTGGACATGTTGCTGAGGGATAAAATGTCTCAGACACTAAAATCTAACTTCATGGCAGTGCTCCGATCAGAAATGAAGCCCAGGCGGAGGATTTTGCCTTTATTAGAGATGAGATGAAGGCGATGACGTCCAAATTACAGAGCACTGCAGCAGCGCTCCGCTCAGATTTCGTGCAAGTTCGAACGAGAGTTACGGAGATGGAGGACAGTTTGTCCACCCTGTCGGACAAGGTTGTCTGTTTTCGAAGCATGGTAGAGGACCTAAGGAAGAAACGGGGAAAATGTGAAGATTTGGAAAGCCTCTCAAGGAGATGTAATGTTCAAATTATTGGAGCTAAAGAAGATTCTGCGGCTGGAAAAAGAACCAATGGTAGACCAATCCCACTGAGCAAGAAAACAGATGAGTAATAGGCCACGACCTACTGTGGCTAAATTACATTACTATCAAGACTACACCGAGATTCTCACCCGCACATCTACCCGTGGCTAGCTTTGGTATAATGCATCGTCAGTTGCACTTTTCCCAGACTACACGGCAAAAGTGGCCAGGGCAGTGTTTGCTGATGTGAGGAGGCTTCTTCGTGGTCAGCAGAATGTGAGGTATGGTCTTTTTCCTGCGAGGCTCCATGTCACCCATGATGGATTACGTTAAGAAAAACACTGTTGGGTTGGATAATTGACCACCTTGGAGCTTCTGCCGGCACGGTGCACATGATGTTCAGGTTAGTCTGTGTTATGACATTCTGTTTTGATTTGATTGGACTTTGATGGTGGATGCAGTCATATGTTTGAAACGGGATGTCTCTGCTGGATGCCAAGATGTCATTTGCTGAGAGCTGAATCTGCGGACTGAATCTGTTTTTGCTGTGGAATGACGTTGGGAATATTGCTGTTTAACATTTGTATATTGATTATTTGGGTCTTTTTTTTACTAGCTGAGAGCCTTGGTGATTGTGGTTGGGACTTGGTTTCTTTGTGTAAACAGAAATGTGTGGATTTTTGGATTGGTGTGGTCTACATTGGATCAATGTAGGGGTTTTGTTTATGTTTTGAGTTTCATATGTGACAGTTTTCTTGTTGTGTTTGTGTTTTCTATGTGGTGTAAATAACTGGTAGAATCACAGACAGACACGTGGATGCCTGATTACATGTGTAAGCAGGAATGTTAAATCCCATAACAATCCTTTAAAATTTAGGAAGGTTATTGCTAATAAAAAAAAAACTTTAATCAGATATTGCCTTTTTACATTAGCCACGTTTGTTCAGTAGATGAATGTTAGAAAACATCGTCTGGTCAGGTGTTTCAGTCGACTTTTAGCTCTAAATCAAGGGGGGTTACTATCATAACTGGTAATCTTGTACAATTTATTGTTTCAAGTGAACGTAAAGAATCTGCAGAGTCGTTATACAATTGAGGTGGGTGAACTGCTACATCTAGTTGTCCTGGCATCAATGTATACACCAAATTGGGATGATCCCTCCTTTTTTACTAGGTTCTCAGTTACCTGACTTCTCACAACACTACCTCATAATAGGTGGAGACACTAACTGTGGACTATCCTCACTGGACTGGAGTGTGACTGGATGGCTGGCTCTTACTAAATCAGCTCAGTCAATTCAAAGTTTCTTGGACTCTTGAGGGGCGGTTAACGTGTGGCGTTCTTGTAAACCTACTTCGAGGCCATACTTGTTCTATTCTTCAGTTTCTCAGTGGCCTAGTGGTAGAGTGTCCGCCCTGAAACTGGGAGATCAGGGTTCGATTCCTGGTCGGGTCATACCAAAGACTTTGAAAAAATGGGACCCAATGCCTCCTTGCTTGACACTCAGCATTAAGGGGTTGGACTGGGGGGTTAAACCACCAAATAGTTCCTGAGCGTGGCTGTGTCTGCTGCTCACCGCTCCCCCAGGGGATGGGTCAAATGCGGAGAACAAATTTCGCACACACACCTGTGTGTGTGACAACTAATGGGACTTTAACTTTAACTTTATAAAACCTTTTTCTGAATTGATTTTTTGCGCATTCTAGAATTTTGCGTATAGTGAGGGACTGTCTATGGCGCCATTGTTGTTTCAGATTTTAATCCCAGTTTTTACAAAAGGCCACGCCTGCCAAACTGGCAGATGTAGGAGTGTCTCACAGAGGGCATTTTTAACCACGTAGGACAGGGCTGTTCAATTCAGGGCCTGGAGGGCTGGTATCCAGTCCCCTTAAAAGGTTTCTCTAGTCCAACACACTAGATTCAGTGGATGAGTCACCTGTGCAGTAGGGCTGGGCAAAACGATTATTTTTGTAATCGATTAATCTAGCGATTATTTTTTCGATGCATCGATTAATCTAACGATTAATTTGTTAATTTGATTAGATTAAATTATTGATTATTTCCCAATTATTTGACTTGTATAGCAGTTTGATTATTACTAATTTATGTATCTCAATGAAATAAATGCAAATTTCTTCATTTGAACACATTTTAATTAAAAAATTCAAAAATAAAGTTGTTGTAATAGTAGTACAATCTTACGTTAGAGATAACATTTAACAAAAAATCATATGTTGTGCAAACTATTCATATAAATCAAGGAAAATTATAACAACAAATATATATAAATAGCAGCAATGGTGTCTTTTAACAAACAAAATCTAACATAAGTAACCTAAGTAGGACTCTGTGACTAGACTTGTCCAAGCATCAGTGGTAAAGGAGATTTTGGATGAGGCCTTTTTTAGTTCGTTCCTTAGTTTCTCAACTGAAGTTTGATGCTTTCTCTCCATCATGCTTGTAAAATGGCGCCTAGAAGGCAGAGTGTAACCTGGTTGAAAAGTGGTCAGCATTTCTTTGAATCCTTCACCCTCAACCACAGCAAGTGGTCTCATGTCTTTCAGAATCATAAATAGGACGCTTTCAGTAAGTACAGCCACCTCCTGGGGGGTGCAGGGCGTTCTTTTCTGACAGTAGTCCTCCAGACTTTTCTGTTTGTTCCTGAAAACATAAATCACACAGACAACACACAGATGAATTAAAATTATTACAAAATATTTATGTAGAAAGCATAATATCAAAATAATAATTTGAAGATCTGTAATTCAGTGTTTTCTCAAAATATTTAATCGATAAGATTTGTTTAAAAAGAGGTTTTTAACACAAAATGCTGCACGTTTTTGTAGTCATTAGATGGTGCAACTTAGATCTATAAGATCAACAAGCTAACGTTCAAACAGGATGAGGCATTAAACTTGACAATCAAGAGTCCGTTGTCATTTTGCTTTTGCAAGCACTTCAACAATATTGTAATAATGTCCATGACGGCTACATTTAGCAGGTGATACATTGTCTTTGTTAACATTTTTACTGCGGACAATTAGCGTTGTCCCACATTTTCAGCTCTGGCCGATTCTCATAATCAGCACGTGCGCATTCCGACTCATTTGGCCATCATGAGCCACAAATAAAAACCAACAAAACAGATAACAGCTGCTGCTATATGTTACTGCTAAGCAGCGTGGCAGCAGTGGGTCTGCTTGTGTGTGTGAGTTAGTGCATGGCTACGTGGGAGTGTTTGGATGTTATAAAACAGCGTTAGTAAAAAAAAAAAGTTGAAAACTTACGGTGTTTTTTCGTTTGCCGAAGCTGCTCCTGGATGCCTTCGTTTGAGGTGCTGGTGCATAGTCGTCGTGCTTTTATGATAGGCCATTTCCACTTTACACAGCCAGCAAACGACTGAATTGCTTCCTTTTCCGTTAAAATAGTCCCATACCTTTGAACTGCGAGTTCGGGTTGAGTGATTTAAGTTGACTGCCCCGCTCATGTTGCCACTACTCGCCGCTGCCATGTTTGTTTTTGAACGTGATGACGCATCGACGCAAATTATTTGCGTCGACGTATTTTACGTGTCGACGTAATCGATTACGTCGACGCGTCGTCCCGCCCCTACTGTGCAGCAGCTCATCAGGCTCTGCAGAAGGCTGTTAATCACCTGCTGATTGAAATCAGCTGTGTTGAAGCAGGGTTAAAACTAAAACGTGCTGGATAGCAGCCCTTCAGGCCCGAAGTTGAATAGCCCTGATGTAGGACAATGTCCTTGTGGGCTTCATATGTGTATCCATGTTTGGGTGTTGCAGTGACCTCTGACCTTTACATATTCTACATATTTTTTGTGACAATCTGTTTAAATAATTTGAAAAAAGAACCAATGTGATTTTCTGCAAAATTCAGAAAATGAGCATTAGACGGTCCCTTTGCTTGGAAAAATAAACCAACAGACAATGAGAAAATTATTACAGATCATCATATAATTATTATGAAACACTAGAAACTGAACACAAATGAAAACATTTACCAATACTATAATGATTCATGGGGGGTTATTGTGATTGCTAGGGATGTAAGAAAATATCGATATGGCAATATATCGTGATATTGTTTCCTGCAATATTATATCGATATTCAAAAGCTGTGTATCGAATTTTGGGAAGAATTCACATGCAAACATTTGTGTATTTTCATTTCCTTTGGTGCAATTCAAACGCCAACTTCTAGCTGGCAGCAGTGTGCAGTGGGCTTTGTTTCCACTATTGAAATGTACATCTCTTTACTTTGGTTCAGATACATCACGATTTGTTAAACTACTCTAATCAACTGCTATTGAGCACAAAAATCACAATAATTAGAAAAGATCTTAAATTACTTTGTGTTTGTATTACAGCTGCCTTAAGCTTCTGTTCTGCTGCGTACCAGAAGAAGCCCTCCTTTAGGCAGCTGCTGCAGAAACCGACAAAGACTCTTTGTGGATTATTGGGGAAAAAATGTCCATGTCACAAAATCAGCGCAAATTAACAACAGTCTGCTATTTGTGGTTTTCAGGAAGTGAATTTTATTTTGGAAAGTTAAAGTGACAGTTTGTATTTTTCCTAGCGATAGGGGGCAGTAGATACCTAAATCGTTGCAAGCAAGCTGTATTTTTATGTTGGAGTAAGTCCTTACCAACGGATGCCGATTAGGGTCAAAAAGCCCCAAGGAGTGCAAACTTCAACAAAATGACAAGCATATCAAGATGGTGGAATAAGCAGTTGTGTATGCTGTTGCTGTCCCTTATGGTAATTGGAAAAGTCGACCTTTTGGTTTAATTTCACCGTCTTTAGCTTTAATTTTTCTTAAATAGTTTTTGAAAAAGATATTTTCAGCTTTTGAGTTTTTTTCTGTCTACAAAGTTCCTCTGTTTACAAATTATGCCTCCAAAGAGGTTCCTAACTAAAGATCTGCAGAAAGGCACTGATGAGGCTGCTGACGTGTCAACCAGCGAGCTCTGCATGGTGTCTTTAGAAGCTACTCTTCAAAAGTTTTTTTCTGAAGCTGAACTACGCTGAAAAGAGTGCTTTGATCGGGTGGAGTGCCATCTTGTCGGCATTAATTCCTCATTACAGAAGCTTGAGACAGAGCTCGAGTTTCAGAAACAGATGACCTCTTCACTTCAGGCTCAGATCAAATGGGTGGAGGACTCGTCTGCAGCCTCTAATGTGGATTTGACGAAAATCAAGAACAAACTAACGTTCATTGAAGATCAAAATAGGTGAAATAACATTCAGATCTTTAACTTGAAAGAAGGGATAGAGCTTGATCATGCTTTATCCTCAGGGTATCCGCGGGTCCTTAAAAAGTCTTAAAAAGTCTTAAATTTGCTTTTCCAAATTTAAGGCCTTAAAAGTCCTTAAAAATGACAAATAATCCTTAAATACAGTTTCCAAAGGTCTTAAATTACCAAAGACCCAATAAACAAGATTATTTTATTCTATAAAATGTTCGTGAATTTATAGTTAGTGTTCAGCTTTTTTTGTGTGTGATATTGGCGTAAGCGGAAACGTACACATTCAGTTGGGGGGGGGGGGCTATTTTTAGATGAGCACTTTAGCTGGTTAAGCTAGCGGGAGTTTGCGCCATGGGGAAGTGCAAGTTTAATGTTAACTGGATGGCTAATCCCACGTTCGCGACGTGGTTAGCGCCGGTTCCGGGCAATAACTGCGAGGCCCGCTGTACTCTGTGCAAAAAGCTCTTTAAACTCGGTTCCATGGGAGTTAAAGCTGTGGAGTCGCATATGCACAGCGAGAAGCACAAAGCCGCAGCCAAAACCCGCGAACAGACGAATGCAATTTCTCAGTTCTGCACCGTGTCACCGGTTTCCCCGGCTTCAGAATCTCCGAACTCAGCAGCGACCGCATCAGCATCGGACCTCAGGGGGATTTTTGGATCCACTGCAACTCTTCAGGCAGAGGTGCTGTGGTGCCTGCACAGCGTAACAAGACACCAATCTTACGGCGCTAATGAGGGAGTCGGAGATATATTTAGAGCTGTTTCCCGACTCAGAAATTGCTAAAAACTTTACGTGTGGTAAAGACAAAACAGCATATGTAGTCAAATTTGGTTTGGCTCCCCACATCATCAAACTCCTTATGGCCGATGTCAACAGAGGCAGTTTTACTTTGATGTTTGATGAAACCCTCAACCAGATAACCAAAACAAAGCAAATGGATCTGCATGTTCGTTACTGGAAAGAGGATCAAGTCCAGTCCAGGTACCTAGGATCACAGTTCATGGGCCATGGAACAGCTAAGGATTTACTACACCACTTTAAAGTAAGTAACAAGCCAACACTAGTAAAACACATGTAGCCAATGTTGTCAGAAAATTATGGGTAATTATTGCAATTGTGTTGCTGTAATCCATAAATGGGAATACATTTTATTTTTCAACTAGAATTTTTTTTTATTTGAAAAAAATAATTCAATAATATGACTTTTTCAGTGGAGCAGTTCAAAGTTTTTCTTGTTTTGATACATTGCCCAGCCTAATGCTCAGTTTTTTCCTCAGGAATGCTCTCAGCAGCTGGATTTGAAAAAGCTGCTTTCAGTCTCCATGGATGGGCCCAATGTAAACTGGAAGTTTTTGGAGTTGCTTCAAGAAGAACTGCGTGAGCAGTATGAGGGGAGACAGCTGATTGTGGTTGGGAGCTGTGGCCTTCACACTCTACATAATGCCTGCAAAGGTGGTTTCTCTGTGTGGCGGCTAGAGAAAGTTTTGAAAGCCATGCATGTTCTCTTCCATAATGTGCCAGCTAGGAGAGAGGACTTCATAACTTTGACAGCTTCTGCAAAGTTTCCACTTGCATTCTGTAGCCACAGATGGCTTGAAAACTTACCAGTAGCAGAGAGAGCCTTGGAGATGTGGGCATCTTTGACCATGTACCTGGATGCAGTCAGAACGAGGAAGCTACCAAATCCAGGAACTGCATCTTTTGACACACTTGAAACTGCTCAGAAAGACCCCCTTATCCTTGCAAAGCTACATTTCTACATTGCTGTTACCAGGACTTTCGCTCCTTTCTTGACAAGATATCAAACTGATGAACCAGTGATGCCATTCTTGGCCACAGACTTGGCAGAGTTGATGAAGGTAATAACATCCTAACACCAGACAGTTTGATGTTGCAAATTTATGTTGATTTGTATAATTCTGTATGCTTGTCAACATATTTATGCATACACTGTCCTCTTTTTACTGTTTTACATTTGAAAATGAATAATAGTCACATATGATTTAAAAAAAATATATGTATATTTGTGTTGTGTTTAGATTTGTCAAAAAAAAATTTACCCATTTTGTTTTGTTTTTCTCAGAGTGTGCTAAGGCGTTTTGTCAAGAGAGAAATCCTGAAGGATATCAGTCCACTGCAGCTGGTCAAACTGGATGTTGGTGACAAGAATAACTGGGTCCCACTGCAAGATGTCACCCTAGGTTTGGGTGCAGAGTCAGTTCTTAAGGTAATGTTCCACCTTTAACCCTGCCACTGTCTTTATGGGTGACCCCGTGAGGAAAGTTGACCATTGAGCAGGATTGATGGTTTATCCCTTGAGGTCCACGTGGCAGGGGTGAGGTGGTGCTCACTCCTCACCCCTGCCACATGGACCCAAGGGATAAACCATCAACCCTGCTCAATGGTCAACTTTCCTTGCGGGGTCACACCCATTAGGATAGTGGGAGGGTTAATTCAATAGTGATGAATATTGTTGGCTGTTATAATGGGTAACTTGGTCTTATTACATTCCATTCTGTCAGGAACTTCAGCAACAAAAAAAGATAGGGGAGCTTACTGTCCTGGAGTTCAGGAAAGACTGCATCAAGATGCTGTCCACCATCATTCAGAAAGTGCAAGACAAGAGTCCATTAAAGTACCCCCCTGTTAGGCAGGCTGCCTGTTTGGATCCCAGGAGGATGTATTCTGACCCAGACTGGTGCCAGAAAAACATGACTAACCTGGTGCAGAGGTTTCTGCAAAACCAGCAGTTATCAGGAGGTGTCTCTGCTGGTAGGAGAGAATACAGCAGTTCAGTTTGTTTATGTAAAAATATATGAAGAAAATTAATTTTGCAGATACATGTTAAATATATCAGACATAAGATGCAATCAGTCTCACAAAAACTCTTGCTTGCAGCTTTAATGTATACAATCAAAATACATTAAGTCATTTTTTTATCACTGTTTTTTTGCAGGTGATGTAATTGTCCAGCAGTTTACTGAGGTCTTATCAGTTGGAGCGAGAAGTGAGACCTTTCTCTCCTACAGACCCACAGAGTGTAGACTGGATGTATTTCTCAATGGCGTCCTGAGCCAATGCTATCAGGAGCTATTGGAGTTTAGCAAGAAACTACTACTTCTGTCCCATGGACAAGCAACAGTGGAGAGAGGATTCTCTGTAAACAAAGAGGTGGAGACCTACAATATGCAGGAAGACACAATGATTGCTCAGCGACTGGTCTGTGATTATGTCACTGTCTCTGGGGGGGTCTTCAATGTCCCTATGTCAAAGGAGCTACTTGCGTCGGCTGCATCAGCAAGGTCCAGATACAGAGTGCATCTAGATGAGCAAAAGAGGAAGAAAATCACTGATCGCGAGGCACAGAAGCGAAAATCTGCAGAAGAAGCCATTGAGGAGCTTAGGAAAAAGAAGCAAATTCTGCTGCAAGTGTCCAACAGCCTACATAGAGATGCTGATAAACTTGCAGAAGATGCTGAAGGGAAGAGTGGAAGCTTGATGGCCCAGCTCATCACAAAGTCAAACACGCTGAGGAAGAGATACAGAGAAAAAATGTATGAACTAGAACAGGTGGAAACTGAACTGAAGACCAAGACTGAAGAACTCAGATCTATTCCATAACTGAGAAAAGAGAAGGACCATTTACTTATATTTAGTATTCAATACATGGTACTTGTATTCATTTTACACATTCATGTAAACTCAGTTTATTTAAATACGGATATTCACAGTATTTAACTCAGAGTTGTTAGTACTGCATTTTGTTTTTGGAAAATATATGCACAGATTCTCTTATCTCGATGTTTGTGTTATTTTTCATCACGTTCAGTTCCAATAAAGGTTTGGCCAGAACTATTTGTAAGGTCGTACTCGTCACATTATGTTTTTTAGTCTTGAATGTAAGGTCTTAAATTTGGTCAAAGTGGCCTTAAAAAAGGTCTTAAAAAGTCTTAAATTTGGCTCCCTTAAACCTGCAGATACCCTGTATCCTACCTGTCAAGTGCTCTCCTGGTTTGGTTTCTTGAGCTGATGTCGTCTCCACTAGAAATGGTGCGGGCGCGCCGGATTGGTCCCGGCAACGGCTGGCTTTCGCCTCGAACCATGCTGGTCAGTTTTCTCCGATCCGCTGACAGAGATGGGATTCTTGCTCTATCCAGGGAATCGCAGGTGATGGTCGATGGGAAGATTATTCGTTTCTCTGCGAACTACAGCGATGACACAGCGCGTCACAGACGCCGCAGTTTTCCGGTGCTAAATCGGGCTCATGCCCTTGGGATGAAGGCTTTCCTGCTGTATCCGGCCAACATCAAGTTGATCAATGGCTCTGATCAACTTTTTCCCAGACCCCTCTGAGGCAGAAACACATCTGAACTCCTTGGATCCAGCTGTTAATGCCACTGAGGTAACTCGAGACTCCTTGGGTTAAAACTTGCTAGCCCTTGGATTGCTTTGAGGTCGGTTGTCTTTTCATCCTCATTTTCTTTTTTATTGACCATCTGTTTTTGTCTGACCAGTTATAGTTGAACTTCTTGTTTAAGGGTCTTTTTTCTTTTAGTCTTTAAAATACCAAAATTTGTCCATAACTTCTTATATTTTGTCTGTTTGACGTCATCTTTTTAAATATATTAGATCAGATGACACTCAGTACTCAAATAGCCTTCTAATCAGATACTTTTTTACCTTTACTTGAGTAATAAACCCTATATAAGGAAAATATTGTCCTCTGTTTGTGTCCTTCCAGTGAGCTTTGCAGATTTGGGAAAATGTCATCAGGCAGTAATCATTTTTAAATTCATAATGATTCTCGAAGAGAGACCAAGTCTTATCTGCCCCTGGGAGCCCCGTAATGCATAGCGTCATTTCAGTATGGGGGTGTCCGTGACACGGTTTATATGCAGGTAGCGGCGCTGCGGCTGCTTTATATAGCGACTCGTTGCATTCTCCCTCAACCCAAATCCTCGGATCACGCATTTTAGCTAAAACGCTAACGTTAACTTGCCTTGCGTTGACTGTAGAATTGTGGGTGATGGTCACGCAGATGAAGCGTTGCTGCCTTTCACAGACACCTTTTCCTGCACGTGCTGCAAACAGGATAGCCGTCTTCTATCAACTGTTCCTCGGCATTCTTCAAATATCCAAAAAATGCCCATACTTTCGACTTTGTCTTTGAGGGATAATAAATGTCCTGAGCACTGCCGTCTCCTCCTTTGGCCATTATTTCAGCTTTAGCGTCAAGAAAGTTTTGGTTGTAAACAACAAAGTGCGCATGTGCCTCCTGCAACTTCAGCAGATTATGCGGTGGCTGGTAAGGGTCACCGCGCCTACACCACAGCCACGGTAATCCACCAAGATAATATATTTTTTTAAAGCAAGACTTATTATTATTGTCAACTTTTTTTTTACAGGGGTTTACCGCTACACCGTTTACCGTGACAACCCTATTCCAAGGTCATTGTTCCGATTGTGAAACCGCTACACTTTGAAGCTTTGTTTATTGAGGTTACTTTTCATGTTAACAAGTCGCTCATAATTGGGAATATTTATAGGCCACCTTCATCACCTAAAAAGGAATTTTTGAAAAATATGATTGCTATGGTTTATTCTTTAGGTAACACTAAATAATTTATCTTGTTGGGAGATTTTTAGCCTAAATTGGCTTGATCATTCAACCCTTGCTGATCGTAACCTCCTGAACTGCTCAAACTTCACTCAACTGATTACTGCTCCTACTAGAGTAGTTTCTAATTGTTCCTCTCTCATTGATTGGATTCTGGTGACTCACCCAAATAGAGTAGTTGATTCTGGAGTTTTAGATGACTGCTTTAGTGATCATTCTGTTGTTTATTGTACATGGAAAATTTCTATCCCACATAAACCTTCCAAGATCATTAGGATACGTAATCTTCATGTTTTTAATGTTGAGCTTTATCTGCACGAACTGCAGTTGATTAGCTGGGATAGGTTTTTATTAATACCTGATATTGATGATGCCTGGACATTTTTTTTACTCTGAGTTTCTTGCTGTGCTTGATAAACATGCTCCTTGGATTAGTGTGAAATTCGGAGGTAATCCTCTAATCCAATCCAATCCAGTTTATTTATAAAGCACTTTACAAGACCCAGCACAGGAACAAAGTGCTGTACAGAAAGTACATTAAAACAATTGACTAGAAAGAAAACAGCAAAGATAAATAAAACACATGATACATAAAATTAAACTAGCCCTATATTAAAAATAAAAACTTGATAAAACTTGATAAAACCGCATTTGAATCACCTAAAACAGCTAAAATAAAATAAAAAATAGAAACCAACATCTCACAAGGTATTAAAAGCCAGGGTAAAGAGGTGTGTTTTCAGGAGTGCCTTAAAAGCAGATAAGGAACTGGCCTGTCTTATCTCTAAAGGAAGTTCGTTCCACAGTTTTGGGGCTGCAACAGCAAAAGCACGATCTCCTCTAAATTTACGCTCAGTCCTGGGTACAATCAGGAGCAGCTGATCAGCAGACCTGAGAGAGCGGGAGGGAGTGTAAGGCTGTATCAGATCAGAGAGATAAGAGGGGGCAAGGCCATGAAGACCTTTAAAAGCAAATAAAAGAATTTTAAAATGAATCCTAAAAGAAATGGGCAGCCAGTGAAGTGAAGCTAAAACAGGGGAAATGTGCTCAAACTTTCGAGTGCCAGTTAAAAGACGAGCTGTGGCATTTTGCACTCTCTGTAGCTGACTAATACATGATGCACTGACCCCAATGTAGAGTGCGTTACAGTAATCCAGCCGAGTGGTTACAAAGGCGTGGATCACTGTCTCAAAGTGCTGCCGTGAAAGAATTACCTATCTACCATCGATTAATACCGTAGTTATCTCATATCCCTTTTCAAACAGCGTGATAAAGCTTGGAAAACCGCTAAACGTACTAAACGTCACATTGACTGGTGTGAATTTAAAAAACTGAGAAATTATTGTACTACTCAAACCAGGAATGCCAAAGAAGACTTCTACGGGAACAGCTTGAATACGGGTTTCAATAATCCTAAGAACTTCTGGAGAACGGTTAATAATTTATGTGGAAAATCTAATACTACAGTATCTAATATGAGAGTTGATAATAGCCTTACAAATATTCCTGCCAAAATTGCAGAAGCATTTAGTCAGCATTCTGCCAACATTCCCCAGCTGCCTTCCTCATCTGCCATAAGTAACTGCCTCTTGCCCCAAAGCTGTTCCAGTTCATTTTCTTTCTTTTTTTTTTCAATTTCTCCTAATGATGTTTCACAGATACTAAAAACACTTACTCTAAAGCTTTGGGACCAGATGGCATAGAGTCTAGGTTTATTAAATTAGCCTCTGATATTCTGGCTTATCCTCTTTCCATTCTTTTTAATTTGTCATTTGCTACTTGCTTGATCCCAAAGGAATGGAAATGCACAAAGATTTTTCCGTTATTCCAGGGTGGTGACTCCTGTGAGCTAAATAATTATTGCAATAACCAATATTGATGTGAAATTTTTTGACAAACTAGTATTTAATAAGCTCTCTAATTATCTAGATGAAAACAACTTACTATCTCCTTTCCAATCAGGGTTTAGAAAACATTTCTCGACCACCACTGCGCTGTTAAAATTAACTAATGATATATACTCTGGATTTGACAACAGCTTAGCGACAGCCGCCATTTTTCTTGACCTGGCAAAGGCTTTTGATATGGTGGATCATTATCTGCTTTTGGATAAATTAATATTTATTTTAATTTTCCTTCATACTTAACTACCTTACTTGTACCATTTAGATCTCATTACCACATTTGCAGAATGTGTCATGTTTCATTCGTCATCTCTTTCGCTAAATCGGAGTCAGGAATGCTGGCTTTTTCTGTCAAAGCACCAAGAGACTGGAACAATTTGCCTGTTTTTCTAAGAATCATCACTACAATTCGTCATATTAATATCTCTTTGTATGAATGTTTAATACCCATTTGTAACTGTGATTTTTCACTTTTATCTTTCTTTTGTGTTTATCTTTTTATTCATTATTTTTATTTTCATTAATAATATAATATTTGTGTATTTTTTTTTAATTATTTTTATTATTACTATTGTGGTTTCAATGTGTGGCATTGAAATACTGTTTGCTATCTTGGTTTACTATTTGTTTTGATTTGTATAGAGGATCCACTTGGAAATGAGATGGTTCATCTCAAGTGGTTTATCCTCTCAAAATATAAGTTAATAAATAAATAAATAAATATCAGACTCCCTTTCATCACTGGCAACGAGTGAAGAGGTAAATGTGTAAAACAATGTTTATGAATGGTGAAATTTCGGAAGTGCTTGTTACAAATCAGCAGATGCATTTTGTCCTCAAGGGCTCCCATAGAAGGAAACATGGCATCTAGTATGGCGTTGCCCAGAGACGTAGACCTACTCCCGTGTATTTTAGACCTAATTTTTATGGTTATATATTACAACATCGCCAATATTTTTCAACAACTGAGCATCATTTAATTCATTTTCAACAACATTTTTGATGGATATTTATAGAGATTAAGAGTAAAAACTACACATTGCCACTTTAAGAGAAGGGGCATGCCGGTTATAATGTCCTGCGTTTTATTTTATTTATTTTTTGTTGGAGATTAATAAAACATGTCAGTAATGTCTGACCATCTGACATGCTTTGGCAAACACTGTAGTCCTCTCAGCTTGAACTTTATCATCCCACGCTTGCGACTGGTGTACCGCGCTTTAATTCTCTGCTTCTTTCAGATAAAAGTTTTGTTGAATTTATGAAGAATAAAATGTAATTTTTTATTGAGATCAGCTAGGGCTGGAATCGAAAATTTATCGTTACCAAAATTTCTGACTGTTATTGAGATAATTTTCCCATGTGTGTGTGTGTGTAGGTTGGCAATGTTCATGTCCCTTAAAGAAGCTGTACCACTTGAGTCCTGTAAAAATGAGATTCTTCGTAATACTTGTGACAGCCCCATCTAGTAGACAACTTTTGTTTCTGCGCATACCTGTAGTTATCCATTTATTGTTACCAAGGTGAAATCGTCAATATCCGTGATATTAATTTTAGGCCATTTCGCCCAGCCCTAAAAACTCAGGAAATTCTGTTTTATATGATCTTTAAGTCCTTGAAAGATTATCTGAAGGGACAAATAATTTCTTATTGTGCGAATGAGATACGTAAAAAAAGGTGAAAGGCTGAAATTATGGACCTTAGCCCTCCCCTTCACCGAAAATCGCTAGGTGCTTCAAACGGAATTTAATATTTTGTCCACTCAACAGGCCTTATATGCAATTTCTAATGCTACATTTCTGTTTAAAGAGCTGTACACCCCAGCTTCACCCATCAAAAATTTGATGCAGCAGTTTTCTCCCTAGATACTGAGAAGGCATTTGAGCAGGTGGAGTGTGACCTTGTTGGGCTTGTGTTATCTGGGAGAAGTCAGCTAGCGGTAAAACTACCCTCAGACGACAGGATTTTGGAATCTTACTTCCTGATAATTGGACATCTCGCCTCGTATTAGATGACAAAAACACGACTCTACCACTGACTTGCAACGTGGATGTTTCATCTCCACCAGTGACATCTCTGCATTGGGGCCAGACCCCACCAAATGGCACTGTGGAGCTCTACGTTTGCTTGTAATAATCAATGGAACAGAATGGTTTGTTTTTAGAGCAATATTGTATAAAAAGCCATTTTGTCACCAAGAAGTTTCTCTTAAAAACATTTGTGTGTTTATATCTTATGCTTTTGCCAGGATACTATCCAGCTCAATGGATTAAATCTTCTTGAAAAACCTGAGAAGGAGCAGTTTATGTGCCAGCCCATCAGCGTCTGTTTTAAACAATCACAGTGCGCATGCTCAAATCATTCTCAATGGTAAACCATAGAGACTCCAGCCACAAGCTCAGATCATCCAGTCAATAGATGAGAAAAGCACACATGGGCTTATGTTTGTTCTGTGGGCAGCTCCAGCCATGTGGGTTATGATGGTTAGCTAATAAGAAGCAACAGAATTAACAAGATAACTTTGCCACTTGAACAAAAATTAGAGATGAAACCAGAGAGCTTTGACTAATATTGCCAAAGGACAACATTGGCACTGAAAATAGGGAGAGGAGGCTGTCGTGATCGGAGGAGGTGTGGGGGCAGCACCGGCTGGAAATATTCCACCAGTTGGGGATTGCTGAATGAAACTTTTAAAATTATTGGACTTTAACTGAGGAGTTATTGAAATGTTTCGCAAGATGAAAGATCAACGTTTAAGAGCTAAACACCAGCGGTGACGCTTTATTTGCAATACCGTGTTTACTCACTTTTGCTATTTTATTTGGCTCATTTAAAACACACGCATGCACGTTTGCATTTATGCTGTTGTGTTGAGTTGATGTGCTCCACCTAACTTATCTTGCCAGAGATATCACTGATCTCTCCACAAATATCACAAGCCTGGAGAAGCTGTTAAAAATGTTTAAAAAATTCTCATGTTATCGAAACCAAAATGTATAAAATTCACCTTGTTTTATTGTATTTGTCTTTAGTAGTCATTCTGGCTATTTTATATTTTCAGTGTTTTTGGTTAAAAAAAATGTTTTAACATGTAATTTAGTCGATTATTTGTGAATAATCTTTGCTTTTAGTTTGCAGTACCACTCTATGGGTTGGACAGTTGGACAAGAAAACTCAGCAGTCAGATGTAATGTCTCTTCTGGAAGAGTTCGGTCAGATTGAGTCTATTAATGTGAGTTTATTCATTTTTACGCCAAACATTCTCTTTACTCGAGTCCCCTCAAAGTTGATATTTGTTTTCCCTTCTGACTTTGTGGTCTAGATGATTCCTCCGAGGGGTTGTGCCTATATTGTTATGGTTCACAGACAAGATGCTTATACAGCTTTGAGGAAACTCAGCAGAGGGTCTTACAAAGTCAACCAGAAACCTGTTAAGGTTTGTATTATTTTTTCTTTGTCCAGATTGCTTGTTTTTACAGTTTATTTACTTTTTTATAACTCATTATTCCTAAATTATATAATTTCTACACCTTTTTTCCTTAGATTGCTTGGGCATTAAACAGAGGTATTAAACCAGCACACAAAAAGTTTTGGGATGTGGAGCAGGGAGTTACTTACATTCCCTGGGGCAAAGTTAAAGTTGATGAGTTGGAGACCTTTAAGGAAGGAGGTATACTGGATCTAGAAACTCTAAATCCAGGTAAGTGCATGTTTCTTTTGCACAAGCTTAATTTACTGCAGGGCTGTAAATTTGTTTTCTTACTCTGCTTTTATGTTGTTGTTGGTCTAGAGTGGAATATCGCTAGGGACTGCAACAACCAGGCAGCTGTAAACGGACCAGCGGAAATGGTACCAGATGTGACTGTCGCTGCTCATGTTCAGGTAATGCTAATGCAGTCCTTAAATACATTATTTTTAATATCAAACGTTTTGGTTTATTAGCCTTGATTAGCAATTAATTATTTAACCAACTTTCTTTTCAAGGCAGTAGGAAAAATAAACTGCTATTGCAAACAAGTGGAGGAGCCTAACCGAATGAATTTTTTTTGATCAGTTTGACTGTTTATGAGCAAATTTACACAAACACACATGACTGTATTTCTGCTCTACAGCATGAGATAAAATAATGAGGCTTGTTGCTTTGTCTTCACACTAAGGTTGGGCATTTGAATTTATCGACCATCGGCGAAAGTCTGAGACATTTGCCAATTGTGTTTTAAGAAATTGTTTTATGCATATGAATTAAGCCTAGCTTATACTTCTTCGTCAGCACGTTTGCACTCACACACACACACACACACACACACACACACACACACACACACACACGTATTAACGTAGACGATACTTTATTCATTTTTATCTCCACTCTATATAGTTATGACTATTCTAGGTTTTAGCATTTTTAAGAGGCTTCAACAAACATTTAAAGCTAATTTGTTTTCCAAATTTGCTGTTGCAGCTTTAATACAGCCTATAAAAACAAAAAAAAAATCAAATGACGACAAACATCTCCCTTTCTAAGAAAGTTGGATCTTAAAATAAAAGGCAGTTCACCCTTACAAATCAACACTTCAATTGTTGGTAGGTGATGCACAAATTTTCCACTGGGCACAGAAGTGAGGTAGTGGCTGGTTGGAATGGGCATAGAATTTCATTGCAATTTGACATCCCTCTTAAAGCATCTGTTCCTCCCAGGCACCCGATCCAGTTGTTTGAGCTTTGGTCTCCACCAACCTTCACAATGCACTCTGAAATTTACATCCTCTTCTGACCCTTGTTGTAACACTATAATTGCTTTTCTTAAACTCAGAAATGTCAAATCATGTTTAACTCACCATTCAGACCTTCATATCATTGGCAGAACAGAGCCACTTTGAACAAAATGTTTTTTTTCCATTCACAAGAGTCCAGTTAATGTCCTTCAATGGCCACAAGTATTATGTCTTCAATCCAACATATTTTACAGCTGAAAATATTTCCTTTAGATGTCTCCTTCACTTCATTGCCTCTGCATCATCATATTATATTTCAAATATAATCAACAGGTTTCGGACCCAATAAGTAAAGGGTGACCCCCTCGGCTGAGGTCAAATTGTTTTTGGCCGATAGGTCAGAGGTGCCGTCCCCATCCTCATGGATACAGCTCAAACCAGTTGTGGCACAATATATTGTTGAGTGATGCATCAAATAGTCAGTGAAATTCAGAAAACAACAAAATGTCATGTGAAATGGTAAATAGCCAAATAGCACCTTCTAGACTTCCACTACTCCCCAAGGTGCTATACAACATATCAGTCGTTCACCCATTCACACACACATTCACACACTGGTGGTGAAGAGCTACAATGTAGCCCAGGCTTACATGGGGCTCATTGACAGAAGCAAGGCTGCTGTACACAGGCACCACTGGTCCCTCCGACCACCACCAGGAGGCACGGAGGTTGAAGTGTCTTGCTCAAGGACACAATAACTGCAGAAGACTTAGCAGGACATGAACCTGCAACCCTCCAGTTACGGCGCATGCTACTGTCGCCCCATGTCACAAACTGAGTAAGACTGATTGTAATTGGTGGATTGCCATGTGTAGTGTGTGTCAGGCTCACAAAATGTCTAAGCGTGCAAATATATCACCCATGTTTTTTGGGACTGACGAATATCGCTCGGAAAACTTTTCGATATCGTCTAATCTTGCTTCTCCCAACAAGTGGTGTATTAAGTTTTCAAAAATTTCTGAAAGCTAGCCATTCCTTTGAAGTTTCTTGAAAAGTATTAAAATAAAATATATTAGCCTTTTAGGATAAATACGGTTCTTTGGTGTGAAATAGCATAAATATATATTTATCATTGATACACCATAAAGGCTTGGCCTAATTATCATTTTTTACCTTTTTAATTTTCATAATCATTTATCTTCAGTTGAATTGCTGTGTCATATGGTTTATCTAGCGGAGCTGTTGTTGTTGCCATAGTGCTGTGCTAAATATTACATTATACCAGGACCCTCGGTTCACAAAAAGAGAAAATACAGTTAATTTCCTTTTGCATCAAATCGGATAGGCTCCTCTGCTTGTTTTCAGCAGTTTTTATTCTTTAATTTATTCTTTCTTTATTTGCAAAGTTTTTGCATCTCCCTCAACCTTGTACTGTTTCATTTAACATATTCAAATAAAACTGGGATTAAAAGACTTTAACCACTGTGGTATGTGTGCAGGAAAGCATTGCTGTTTTATTTTTTATTTTTATTTTTGTCTTCACTAACAAAATGATTCAGAATGTGTTGAGAGTGTATGGTTTTTGCATGTTCTTGGCCAAAGTAGGATCAATGAATAAAACTGTGGTTAAAATTTACAATGTACAGATGGTGAGCTTTCAGTAATTTTAATAAAATAAAACATGAAAATAGTATTTGTAAAAATAAAAAATAAGTAAAATATGTCTTAAGAAGTGGCCTATTTAAATTTAAAAATTTCAAATGACTCTGGCCTAGGCAAGCCTACTAAATAGTCCAAAGGGTAGCCTAAATAAAGTGGTCCATTGCAAACACATTAATTACCTAATGGGATTATTAATTTCACTTAAAAAAGAAAAAGTTCTTCACATTTTACGATCAGCTGCTGGTGGGACGTAAAGGTTCGTTTGGGAAGAGGATTGTTGGAGTAGGAGACAAGGTAAGCGGACAGAAACTTTACCCTTGCACCCCAGCTCATTTATAGTAGACAGGCCATTGGGTCCTTGAATTTTTTATGGATCTTTGTGACTGGGTGATAAATACCTATCAAAACAAGCTATGGTTTAATATTACTGACAAGGTAAACTGAAAAATATACGGAGAAATCCTTGTGGAGCAACATAACTACTTTGCCTACATAAGTGTCAAGTTTGGGGAAATTTTTTCAAAAGATTCTTTTGCATATTGAATTTCATTAGCTTGTTTTCTTACTTTCCACATGAAAGGAGTATTAAAGAGGACATATTATGCAAAACCCACCTTTTGCACACAATTTAGATTACATGTGGGTCTCTACTGTCTTTAAACACTCCAAACATGAAAAATAACATCCCGTCTGTGTTCTGTCGGTGTTTCGTTTGAGGAATGATGTGGCTAACACAAACTATAGAATAAACCCCCACCTGTCAACTCTGGAGGAAAAGCGGCTCTACTCCGAGCCCTTCTTGGTTATCGGAGCTTCTCACGTCATAGCAACCAATCGGATGGATGAGCGAGGCCAGCAACAGCTAGTTCTCAAGTAACAGAGCCCTGAAACGGCTCATTCTGGAAGGTACAGAAACTGGAGAATAAAACTGCTGAAATCACTTGATGTAAGAGGGATGCAGTGCAAAAAGCTTCACCAACATGTTTTGTATTGCCCATAGGACTATTATAACTTGAGAAAATTATTCATGTCTCCTTTAACATTTTCACATTGATTATTAAGCAGCTGTTTATACATTTATGTTAAGAATGGAGGTCAGGGCACTTGGTGAAGAATTTACTTTGGGAGGTGAATTGAAGAGTTTAAACTATAACTGCACACATATAAACATGAAACATATAAGTACATAAACATGATTGTTCAGATCTTTCGGAGTGGGTTCATGTGTTCTGTAGGTAGCTTTTTGAATGGCCTCAGTTTGGAGAAATATAATTAAATTCCAACACTAACATTTAGCCACAATGGGGCCAGGTACATGGAGAAATATCTTCATCTTGAAGCAGCTTTAACCGTTTGTTTTAGTACTTTTTACAATTTAAAATCCTTTTGATTTCAATAACTATTCACATTCTGTAATTTTGGCAGAAATATTAAAATTAACCAAGCATTGCCAATTTATCCCCAATTTAGTCTGTAAGTCCAAATGAATAACTGCATGGCTGTATGACATTTTTATATAATATTAGCATAAACTGCACTAGCTGTTAGATTTTATCAGTCTTGTTGGAAAAAAATCTGCTTCTAAACTGAGGGTCAAAGTTCAACCTGTAACAGAGAAGATGTTAACTGTTCATTACCTTTTCAAAGAAAGCCATTTCATAAGAACGGACCCGTCTGCTTATGATTCAGCAGTTCAGCTTGCTGCATTTTCTTTCAGTGAACCAGCATCTTTACTGAAACACTTTCATGTGGGGTGTGTGTGCCAGTATACGCAACATCAATGCCTTACTCTTGGTCAACTTCTACCATTTTAAATTTAAATGCCACTTTTTGGGTTTGGTAGAATTTTGGCCTGGCTCTAGAATTGAGATCCATTTCCCTGGAACGACAAGATGGACCCAAAGCTTTGACGCAAGTTTGTTTTCACAAATGGCAGCCAATTATTTCTGTGACACATCCTCTGTGTGCAGATGCTCGCATTGTTTATTTAAAAAGAAATTCTGGACATGGGACGAGATAAAAATCTGAATCTTGTTTGGAGGCGCTTCAGGTGAGTAGGTGGTTCAGGACGCATTTATACAGGGGAAGAAAAGTGGCCACATATAACTTAGATTGATTAGCGTGATTGACAAAATTTAGAGCTGACAAGACGGGATGCATGGTGACACTGAGCACATCCAGCCTGAAAACCAATATGATTGCAAACAGGCCAATTGTGTTTTTCTTAGCATAAGTGCAGAACAGTAGAGGATCAAAAAGGGTGCCTCTAGTGTTGTATTTTTCATCAATCTATGCTGGGATTTGTTTTGAGGCATTTGTTATCACACTGAAAATTTCCTGGCTCATGTTTATATTGGAAACTATCTTTTCTCTGAAATGAGCATGGTAACAACTTGCTTCTTAGATGATCAAATTCAGATTGATAATGGTCTGCATTGCGCGTTTGATTTGTTAATGAACTCTGACTTTGCTATTTGAAAGTTTCAGTCAGTCCCGAGAGCATCA